GTCAATGGTACATTATGAAAACCTTTCAGAGGTGTACTGTGGTAGACAAAGTGTGTCTGTATCCGAATTTGCTGAATTAACAAAAAGGCAGCACTATCTCAGGTTAATACGCTGTCAGCACTGTCTGAACAAATATATGAGTGTGGTGATATTTGTAACAGTAATGGATCAATATTTCTGCACTTAATTCCAAGAATTAATTGGTTATTATAGGATTATATGTTTGCAATATACCATGGTTTGCCATGGCGAATATTCTGACCAAATCTCTTTAACCAGTGTTGTAAGAGAAAACCCAAATGACTTTTATATGCAAGTATATTAATGCTTTGTTCAAAGATGAAAGTAAAAGTGTCTATATTTATGTGCCCGCTTTCTGCTGCAGATATGAGTTGTCGTACAACGCCATCTGGTGGCCGGATCTGATACAGGCGAAGGAGAAGGCCAAGTATTTCATGTGTATGTCACAGAAAGAGGAGAAGAAGTCTTTCAATTTCAAGGTGAACTAGTAGAATGTGATGATCTATTTATATTGATTCCCCTTGATCTGACTATGTAGAGAACAGGATGGGTTCCTTGTTAGGCCCTTGGTTATCATAAAGTGCAAAATGTTATAATCATTAATGTCAGTATTAAAAAGGTTCGTCTTCAGTGACAAATAAGGGCCATGGTCATTTGGTGTCAAGTGACTTCTCCTTAATAAGCAGTCAAAGGGTACCTGCTAGGAGAAGATGTTACTATGACTATTTACCCAGTGCCTCATAGACAGCTTGGTCGGTATACTCCCCAGGGAGTGAGAAAGAAAATTGAGTGTACACTGATCAATCCACTGGGGTAATAATGTAGGCTTCAGCATGCTTTGGGTGTGGATTTGGTGCATTTTAAATATTCACAATTTTAAATTTATTATGGGACATTTACCATTTTGCTGGGAGAGAGGCATGGATTATTGCGTGAATTGATGTGGCTGGTGATGTCACCAGTACATTTGTTGAGAGAGTGTAAAGCATGCATCTGTCCTCCACCTGTCCAGGTTCTATGCAAGGATGGGTCCCCCCTGCAGCCTCCCCAGTCCGTGCCTCGCACCATCCCCTACTACAACATCAGCTTCCACGCCCCCGTCACACTCCACAACTACCTGCCGTACGACCTGCAGTTCTCCCCTGGAGGTGAGTCTACACTTGTTGTCTTACCATTCATTTGAATCTTGCCACGTGATGACAGTGTAGTCCTTGAAAGTTTAATTTTAGTTATTCCAACACCAGGTGTCTGAGAATTCACACTTAAAGTCAGTTAATCTAACACTGGTGCATTATCCTGTTAATTTGGAGACTGGTCACACTGGCAGCTAATAGATAAACCAAGAAAAAATGACAGTGTATTTTACAGTAAGGAGTAAATAGTGGTGCTTCATTTAGTCATGGGTGGCATGAAAAGTAGTATAGTTCAGGCACTGTGAGACAAACTTAGTACAGATCAGAGCACCCAGACATATAAAAACTGAATTAACTGATATGCTCATGTAAATCTGGGAGTTCCATGTCTTCATCCTGATGATCTGTTTGCCAGGGAACCGGAGCTTCCAGCAGCCTGACCCATGGAGAGAGTGCCTCCCTGTACACAGTCGACCTGCACAACACCTTCAGACTCCTCATCACTGTAAGCATTTCATATTTGTTGACGCACCATATTCCAGCTGTATGACTAGTCTGTAAACAATCAAGTCTGTATCAGACATCCTGTAATTGACAACATGACTTGACAGTTGGGATGTGACATGCATCGACCAAGTCAGCTAGTCTGACCATCACAATCCAGTTGGTGCTTCAAGCATAGGCTGCTGGAGACCAGTTCTAACTCCAATTCCCAATCACCAGTGCCAGCGTCCTGTGTTCATTATAAGAAGATCAGATGGTTACTGTGTCTAAACTTTGTGTGTCAGCAAAGTCTGATAAAATACAATCTCATCAACACAGGAGACAACTGTTCCATAATGCACTTTAAACTTTCAAATGGTCAATTGAGTGAGTGAATTCTGTCAGTGTAATTATTGTGATATCCAGGCGTGTTCCGAGTGGTTGAAGGTAAGAGCATCAAGTTACTATCTCCCAGGATCTAATGCTGAATTACGTATTTCTTGCAGATAACAGATTATCTTGGCAGTGACTGGACGGGAAGCCTTGATGTGACGTCAGACATGGATGAGTTCAAGGCCATCTCCATGGAAACTGACATCAATATGGAGAATGTCAACAAGCATCTGAGTTTGAGCATCCACTCGAACCAGAGTCAGTCCCTGGACCTGTACATCTACTCTCCTTACTGGATCAGTGAATCAGCATTGAGGCTACCAGCTACTGTGTCCTGAGAAATGAAGTCAAATGGTTTCAGAGAGCTGACATCTGATTGACTCGTGAACCCACTCATCCTTCATTAAGATGTATATCAGCTGATGCCACGCCTCTATTCAAGTATCTCTAGTGTCCACTTACTATATAGACATCTAGTGACCACTAACTATATAGTTGTCATGGGAACAAATATGATATACAGTGAAGCCTCGTTAATCCCGACGGTTGCGTTTCTCTGTAAATTCGTCCGGATTGTGAATAGTCCGGACTACTGAATCAAGAACCAAGTTGCTTCCCTTAATATTACAAAAACGACACGAATCTGGCTAAAACAAATAAGCATTTAATGTAAAGCTTATTGAATTCATCACATCAATAATTTTACCGAGTGACATCCTCATTTGATCCGACGTCTGATCACGTCCTTCCTCAGCACAGGTGAGGTACTGTCTAACAAGCGATCTTTTGTAGTATGCCTTGAATGTCCGAATTATTCCTGCATCCATCGGTTGAATATGAGACGTGGTATTTGGTCACATTTCGCAAAGTTAGCGAAGCACACTTGTGACTTGCAGCATTGTCGTAAAGCAAAATCACTTTAAGTCCACGTGACCGCATTTGTCTGTCAAAGTACATTAACCAATCACAAAACAGCTCACTTGTCATCCACGCCTTTGTATTGTGGTGTCAATCAAAGCGTAAATTTACAGCATCTTCAGTCGGGAGCTTTTAATGTCTAATTAAAACAACAAACCAGTTGGCCAGTTAATTAAGTAAACATTGCCGGGATGTGTTGTTACGGTTCGTGAACACAACTTACAGCGTCCGGACTGTGAAGCAATTTACTGTTTATTTTACTGATTGGTGACAGCTACTTACCGTCCGGTTCCGGAAACCGAATTTCCGGATTATCGAGGCAAATTATATAGGCATAGATTGGTAACAAGCTGAAATCGTCCGGGAGGCGAGACATCCGGATTATCGGATTAATGGGGCTTCACTGTAGTCATCTAGTGACCACTTACTATATAGTTGTCATGGGAACAAATATGATATAGTCATCTAGTATATAGTTGTCATGGGAACAAATATGATATAGTCATCTAGTGACCACTTACTATATAGTCATCGAGTGACCACTTACGATAGTCATCATGGGACCACTTACTATATAGTCAACATGGGACCACTTAAGATTTAGTCATCGAGTGACCACATACTATATAGTCTTCGAGTGACCACTTACTATATAGTCATCGAGTGACCACTTACTATAGTCATCATGGGACCACTTACTATATAGTCAACATGGGACCACTTAAGATTTAGTCATCGAGTGACCACTTGCTATATAGTCATCGAGTGACCACTTACTATAGTCAACATGGGACCACTTAAGATTTAGTCATCGAGTGACCACTTACTATAAAGTCATCAAGTGACCACTTAATATATAGTAATCTAGTGATTGTAAAAGTGTGATTTGACTTCACTAATATTGATCCCAATAACGTCTGTTCTTGGTGAACAAGCTTTATGGCCACCATGTGTCTTGCCAGTCATCAGTAAAGAGAATAGAGGTGTCTCTGCCATAACAACTTTGAAGTAGGAGATAAGGAGATGATATTATGTTTATCTTATGAAAACTATAAGAACTAAAGAATATCAAAATTCATTGCATTACTATTTCTCTTTGGGTGGAAAATAGTATATATATGCTAAAGATGATTTAGTCGGTTTGTGTAAGAGCAACATAAACAGAATTCTTGAACACCAAAAATTTGAACATATACTTATGAGAATTGGTTGTAACAACTCTGAAATATCCTGACATGGTGGGTGTGGATGGGGTGGGTGTGTCTGTGTGTCTGTGATGTGTTTCTGTAACGACATTGTGAGCTTGATACTACAAGTGTGTGTCAGACCACAGTAGTCGTAGCTTTACCCTGGATTATACTGAACATCATCTAGCAATGTGGACATTCTCTCTGACTTGCTTCTGTGTCGGAAAATACGTTCTCTTCCTTTCTAACGACATTAGAATCTATGTCGAAATGTCGCCTATACAGAATAAAGAAGTTGTATATCCATAAAAATTGTCCTCATTCTTCATCTCCTGAACTTCTAGAATTCCAATCAAAGAGGTTCCTTTCTAACATTCGGACTTGTTGTAAAACATTACAGGAACATATGGAAAACAGATATGTCAAATCATACTTCACCCAATCTTCTATTAAATAAGATATATTCAGGTAATAACAAAAAACAAGGAAAGAAAGCGAAAGCAGTGGTGCTGTGTCTGATGATCGTCTGGTGCTGTGTGGCGTTTGTGTAGCATGATGGTACACTGTTGTTTTGTACGTCAGTGAAAATGAGTTATGTGTTCAAATTGTCATCACATTTTCTTCATTTTTCCTAAACCCATAAGTGGCAAAGTAAATATTCACGTATTCAGATTTTTCTCGGTTTGTAATAATTTTAAATGCCATTATTTTTTAATACTATTCGACTATGCCAGAGTATACTCTCTGTGGCATGTTAATGTAATAGTAAATTTGAGTGGCATTGAGATGTATGAACAATAAGAAGTGGTACACTCTAGTGCTGTACAGGCCTGTGATGTTTAAGGGTTGCCTGCTTTTCTAACCTAGGCTCATGTACAGAGCGTAGACCTACCATCTAACAAAGGTGTCATCCAGGTAAACCGCTCGCCACTCACTGCCATTGCTGCCGCTGCAGTTCTCTACCTCACTCACAGTCCAGCTTTGCCAACCTGCAATAACCACTGCATGCCGTCAAATCATATATTATTAAAAAAAATTATCTAAATTCTCAACTGTCTAAGCAAAAATTTAAATGGATTATTGAAAAATATCTTTTTAAGAACTTATATCATCGCATTCATGATGTTTGAGATTTAAATTTGAATGGTTCTGTAAATGAATATATGTTAAAGAGGCCATGGTTGGCACATCTGACACAAGGCCTGGTTCTAGTGTAGTTGGTCAGTGGGTGCTTGTCGGCTTCTAATGCATTGTGGGAGCAGAGCAGTCTGTGTTCACCTTTCACCTCACGTCTTGTTTATCCTCTTTCTCCAGAGATTGCTAACTCAGTTTCTAGTCAGGTGTGAGAAGAGAGACTTGGTTGATGTCCACAGAGCGATCTAGGCACTCTAGCTGTGTTTAATTATCCTGGTTGTGGTATTGAGACCGTGCTGTGGACTGGGGACAGAGGCAGATGAACTCTTTGTAGAACTGTACAAACACTTTGTAGTGCTGTTGGACACAAGTAGCTGGAATAGAATCACCAAACACTTCTGTCCTGGCTTTTATCACTTTTTCAATCATGCCCAGGTGAATGGGATGGAACTATAAATCTTCTTTGTACAAACTGTCAAAATGACATTTGAGTAAGGATAGTGTGAGGATAGGCACCCATGAGGGATGTCACCTGGGTCCTGACTGGACAGGTCCTTCTGAACTATGACCAGGCTGTATGTGTGTGTGATCCTACTTGACTGTGACCAGGCTGTATGTGTGTGTGATCCTTCTTGACTGTGACCAGGCTGTATGTGTGTGTGATCCTTCTTGACTGTGACTGGACTGTATGTGCGTGTGATCCTTCTTGACTGTGACCAGACTGTATGTGTGTGTGATCCTTCTTGACTGTGACCGGACTGTATGTGTGTGTGATCCTTCTGAACTATGACCAGGCTGTATGTGCGTGTGATCCTTCTTGACTGTGACCAGACTGTATGTGTGTGTGATCCTTCTTGACTGTGACCGGACTGTATGTGTGTGTGATCCTTCTGAACTATGACCAGGCTGTATGTGTGTGTGATCCTTCTTGACTGTGACCAGACTGTATGTGTGGGTGATCCTTCTTGACTGTGACCAGACTGTATGTGTGTGTGATCCTTCTTGACTGTGACCGGACTGTATGTGTGTGTGATCCTTATTGACTGTGACCGGACTGTATGTGTGTGTGATCCTTCTTGACTGTGACCAGACTGTATGTGTGTGTGATCCTTCTTGACTGTGACCAGGCTGTATGTGTGTGTGATCCTTCTTGACTGTGACCAGACTGTATGTGTGTGTGATCCTTCTTGACTGTGACCAGACTGTATGTGTGTGTGATCCTTCTTGACTGTAACCAGACTGTATGTGTGTGTGATCCTTCTTGACTGTGACCGGACTGTATGTGTGTGTGATCCTTCTTGACTGTGACCAGACTGTATGTGTGTGTGATCCTTCTTGACTGTGACCAGACTGTATGTGTGTGTGATCCTTCTTGACTGTGACCAGGCTGTATGTGTGTGTGATCCTTCTTGACTGTGATCGGACTGTATGCGTGTGTGATGCTTATTGACTGTGACCGGACTGTATGTGTGTGTGATCCTTCTTGACTGTGACCAGACTGTATGTGTGGGTGATCCTTCTTGACTGTGACCAGACTATGTTTGTGTGATCCTTCTTGACTGTGACCAGACTGTATGTGTGTGTGATCCTTCTGAACTATGACCAGACTGTATGTATGTGTGATCCTTCTTGACTGTGACCAGACTATGTGTGTGTGATCCTTCTTGACTGTGACCAGACTATGTTTGTGTGATCCTTCTTCACTGTGACCGGACTGTATGTGCTGTAAGAACCTTCAGCAACCCATGCTTGTTGTAAGAAGCATCAAATGGGATCGAGTGGTCCAAGATGTGGTGACTTAGTAACTTGGAAGATACATGTCATCAGATACCAAATGTGTAGATGGATGCTATTGATATCAATCACTAGACTGTCTGCTCTATACTCAGTTTGTACAGACCACTGTCATCTAGTTAGAATGTTGCTGAATGTGACGTAAGACAACAAACGAAACCTTACAATGAGTGACTAACAGCACCATTTACATTCTGAACTAAACTTTAAGCCTATGTTATTGCAATTTCCATGGAAATGGTCATTCTTTTTCAGAGAGATCGTCCTTGGGGTACATATTATGCATTTTCCGGCTGAAAAATGTCCTGTGACAGTTAAATCAATGTTTTTTGACTAAAAAGATTGAACAATCAATAAACTCTTTTATTTATTATACGGCCCCTACCTCACGGAGTTACCTCCCTTAGAGCATGCGCACCAACTGGGTAGGCTCCTAGACCCGTATCATCATTCCTTCTGCTGTCACTGCCGTGAACAGACGTGTTTATAGAAATAGACCGCACTTCATGAGCCGGACAGCGCTGAAAGCTACTAAGAAAGCTATGTCTGAGACACCACCTGTATGTATGGTCTTTATTTGCCTAAAACAAGGAACAGTAAAGCTTTACAGTTGGTTGTTTCATAATTGTGACTTTGTATTAATACAAAATACGCCGAACTTTCCGTGGTTTACGCATACGTGTTGCTCTGCCATGGCGGGAAGTTTAGCGTGCCATGTGGTCGTAATATTGCGCATTAAAACCAACTATTACTTTCCGTGGTAACCTTCACGTATTTTCAATGTTTTCGACGTGTTTATATGCTGCTGGCCGCTGTTAGCTACATGCTTGCGTGTTTGCTTTCAGGCCTTTTCATCCTGTTCGGTCTGTGGACAGAGAGAAATTCCACGGGCCGACAGGCATGAGCTATCGTTGCCTGTCTTGAGAAGACAGGCCACGGCGCTGAGTCCCTGCCCTATTTGTCTGGCCTTTTCCCCGGCCCAGAAGAGGCGTGGCCCGATCGCTGTTTTATCGCGGAGATGCGTGGAGGAGGAGGGGACCTGACGCAGGTCCCCCGTCTAAAACAAAACGTCACGTCAAAAAGGGAAAAAAATCCGAGGCCTTCCCCTACTACCACCGCCGAGTGGTTTTGACATGTCAGTAATGGACTCTATGTTTCAGCAGCATATGGACTCCGTGAAGTCCTTCGCTCGGGAGTCGGTTGGAGGTCTCCGGCAGGAGTTCCTCGCCCACCGGACGAGGCGGAGAGTCCGGGTGGGATCGCCGGGCTCGGCTCGATCCCTCAGCCTTGAGGCGTCTGTAGATCCGTTGCCTCTGGCCGGATCCGGACGCTTCGGCTGCTCGAGAGGAGAGGTGCTCCCAGTCCCCCTCGGAGTTGGCGCAGGGGACCGTGAGTATTCCTGGTATTCCGGTCCTTGCGTACACCGCCCCTTGAGCGGAGGCACCAGTTCTGCCTGGCCTGCCTCCAGCGTCTCGGGACCGGGGTCCACGACGCCGGCTGGCGCTGGCGTGGAGCCGTCTGTCTGTTCTTCCCTTCCTGTGGTTCCTAGCGCTAGGCAGTCCACCGGGTCGGGGTTCGGGTCCTCTTACGGAGGAGACCCAGCCTCTGACTCGGGCTCGGGCGCCGAGGCAATGGAGCTTGGGGAGGTTGAGGAGCAGGACGGAGGCTTCCGTTTTGCTTCGGCCTTGCGGGAGGTCCGGCAGAGAATTGCCGAGGGCCTACCCCAGGCCGCGGTGCCTGCTGGTTCGCGTGGACTTCGACTGAGTTCCGCTTGCCAGGCGGCGTTTGCCCTAGGCAACCCTCGCAGACGCAGCTCCGCATTCTGCCTTCGTTGGTCTCGGACGTGGTCGATCCCCTCTTGTCTGGTGCCCGAGTACGGTTTGACTTACCGGATCTCGTGCGGCGCTACCAGCTTGGGGAGGATTCCCTGTTCGTTGTGCCAATTGTAGACGAATGTGTGTTCACTTCCGTCGCCCTGGGGGGAGGCTCGGCTTCCTCCGGAGCAGCTCCGGCTGCTCGGCAAGGGCGCCTGACTCCACCTTTTGCCCTCGCGGGAGCCTCTGCGCACGCGTGCGGACCCACGAGGAGGTCTACCAAAGCGATGCATGCAGCAGGTGCGGGTGGTGGTCCATGAGGCCTACTCTCCCCTCGGTTCAGAGGTCGGCCCTGGAGGCGGAGGGCATGCTGGCGAGGTGTCGACGCATGTCGTGCTGCTCCGTCAGCCGGAAGTGCAGGCTCACCTCGCGACTCTTTGCGGTCTGCTGCGCCGACGGTGATGTGCGCAGTCATGGGGATCGCGCGCAGGCTGTGGCTGTCGACGTCTAGGTACTCGGCAGCAACACAGCAGACCTTGCTGGCCCTCCCTTTCCGTCTGGGGCGACCCTCTTTCCAGGGGCCCAGCAGGTCATACGGGAGGCTGCCGCTGCAGCTACCTCCTTCAAGGACTCTAAGGCCTTGTTGGAGCACCGGGTGTCGCCCCAGCGGCTCCGTGCCACCTTCCTCCGCCGGGTGCAGCCTACACCCGAGTCTGCCGGCTGGCCCGGCGCCGCTTGGTAGGGTAGGCGGAGGAACAGTCCGCCAAAGAAGGTAGGGGCAAGGAGCAGTCCTCGACTAGCTCCCAGCCTTTTGGGCGCGGAGGTCTGCCCGACCTCCGTTAACCCATCAGGCTGCCGCTCAAGCCGTGTGTCACGCCCAGTCAGCTCCGCTACCCGGGTCTACACAGCGCTCCTACCCCATATCCCAGTGGGAGGTCGCTCTCTCTATTCCTGCCGGAATGGGAGAAGGCTACCAACAACGCGGCAGGTGCTGGCCACGGTCAGCATAGGCCATCTCCCACTGTGGGGCGTGGTCCGCCCGACTTCACCGGCATACGTCGCACTCCGGTGCGTCATGTCAAGCCAGGGCGGACATATTGCGACGACGGTTCAGGCTCTGCTGGACAAGTCCATGTCGGCGCATTCCACCGGGAGAGGTACAGGCGGGATTTTATTCCGTACTTCCTCGTCGAAGAAAGACGGCGGGTTCCGTCCCGATTCTCAACCTCAAGGGGTTGAATCGCGCATGCTCGAAGTACCATCCTTCAAGATGGAGACACTCTTTCGGTGATCTCATCTGTTCAGCCCGGCAATTGGCTCACGTCAATCGACCTAAAGGATGCGTATTGCATGTACCCATACATCCATCGTTCAAGCAGTACCTTCGGTTCTCTTACGCACGGGATGTCTTACCAATTCAGGGTGCTCCCCTTCGCATATCGACTGCCCCAAGGGTGTTCACCAAGCTCATGTTAGTCCCAGCTACCCTAGCTCATTTCGCAAGGAAGGCGTTGTTAGCCTTACCTAGGCGACTGGTTGCTCGGGCACTAACACAGCCAGCGAAGTCAAGATGCTACTCACACAGTGATAGACATTCTAACTTCGACTTTGGGTGGATCATCAACCTCAAGAAATCCGACCTGGTACCCACCCAGGACTTGGTTTTCTTGGGAGCGATTCCAAAGCGAACAAGGATCTCGTTTCCTTGTCGCCCGACCAGGTCACCAGAGTTCGGGAGATGGTATCTTCATTCCTCTCCCAGCCCCAGGCACCAGCACGGACTTGGCTCCGTCTATTGGGCCATATGGCGGCGGCGATCTCTGTAGTGTGGCGGCGGTTGAGGATCGTCCCATACAGCAAGCTTTGGCTCGGCTGTGGACTCACACGGAGGATCTGGAGCGCAGTCTCACAGTCCCCGAAAGTGGTTGACACCTTACCTTCAGTGGTGGACAAATGTCGGGAATCTCACCAGGGGTTCCCCTTGAAATCGGACGCCAGCTCTCACAGTTCAGACCGATGCGTCCCTCACGGGCTGGGGGGTGTTCTGGGCAGTCTGTCGGCTTCCGGACTCTGGTCCGGAGCGAAGCCCACCTTCACATCAACGTGTTGGAACTGAGAGCTGTGCGGTTGGTATTCGGCGCTTCAGAGAGCATGTCGTGGCCAGGTAGTCCGTCTTCAGTTAGACAACCAGGCGGCCATGTCGTACATCCTGAAGCAGGGAGGCATCGGTGTCCGGCAGCTCCTCCGGGAGCGTGGGACTTTCTCCTCTGGTGCGACCAATGCGATTGTCAGGTACTCCCTGTTTATCTCCGGGGCTGGAGAGCGTCGCGAGCAGATGCGGCTCTCGCCGGATCCTGGCCCGCCGCACGTGGATGCTCGACAGGCAGATATTCACAGTAATCTCCCAGTTATGCGGGTCGTTCGAGGTGGATCTGTTTGCGCCCGGCGGGGCGCGATCAACTTTTCCGTGTTCTGCTCTCTCGGATACCGACCAGGGGCGTTGGCTGCTGACGCCTTCCTGCTGGATTGGGACGGGCAAAGTTTCTGGGCGTTCGCCGTTACCACTCATTCCCGTGTCCTTTCACAGCTGTCCACGCAGCCAGCTCGGCTACTTGTGCTACTGGCACCGCTTTGGCCGTCACAGAGCTGGTTTCCGGTAATTCTCAGGTTTCTGGCTCAGCCTCCTGTTCTATTACCTTTGCGACCGGACATTCTCACTCAGAGCGAGGCCCCACCCAAATCCACCGGATTCAGTGGGTGGCTTGGCCTCTGTCAGGTCTAACCTCGAGGCACGCAGCGAATTCCTGCAGCAGTTGCAGACACAATTCTGGCCAGGCGGATTCGACAAGCGTTCAGTACGAGGATAGGTGGTCCCGCTATGCGCTGGTGTTCAGATAGGGGATTGCAGATCCCTTTTCTGCGGATTTAGTCAGTATTGGAGTTTTTGCAAGCTCGTTTGGAAGAAGGCCTGGCGGCCGACCATTCGCTGGCTACTCCACCGCTATTTCCACTTTTCACACCCCTGTCGATGGTGCTCTTCTGGGGCAGCACCCTCTCGCATACGCGCCGGCTGGCGCCAGAACGGATTCGACCTGCTCTCAGGCGAACCAGTCCACCTTAGGATTTGTCGATCGTGCTCGATTGGCTGTCTGGTCCTACTTTCTCACACCTATCGGCTATTTCCATTCAGTTGTTGACCTGGAAAGCTGTTTTCTGGTGGCGGTAACATCTGGTCGTAAGAGGGTCGGCGATTTACATGCTATGTCGTCCGACCGGGCTGACTCTGTTTCACGGATCGTGTCAGTATTAAGCCTCCAGATACTTACCGACTGAAGGTCGATCCACGCTTTCCATGTGACAGCTCCTATCGAACTTCCTACTCTTACCCAGCCTTCCACATCGGGGACCACTCTACGAAGCACTCACCCGTTGGATGTCCGTAAGACGCTCAAAGTCTATATCAAGCGAGCGCAGGGATCCGTCACGGGTACCCAGCTGTTCTGTTGTTACTGGTGGCGGAAGGCTGGTCTGCCAGCGAGCAAGCAGACTTTGTCTCGCTGGCTAGTCTGTATTTGTGCGCAACCTTATCAGGCTAAGGGCAAGCCTCCCCTGAGGGGTTGAAGGCTCACTTTCGGTCAGGGCGGTAGCCGCCTCAAAAGCTTTGCATCGGCACTCCCCATTGAAGAGATCTGCTCCGCCCGCTATTTGGAGCCGGCCAAGCGCGTTTATCGCCATTATCAGCTCGTCACGCATTCCGTGAATCGATGCGAGCTTTGGCGCATACTGTTCTCTCCAGTGGACAGTGTCCTGCCACCCTGACGAGTGAGTCTTGGTTTATTGGTTTGTTTGACGCTACTGTACAATAATTCCATTATTGACATGTCTGCTACTGTGTGCTCACTCAGAGAACCTGTACCCCTTCGATTCTCTACGGAGTTACTATATCGTTAGTGAGTGGTATTTTGCTTTCCCCTACGGTGCTCTTATGTAAAAAGCCACTCAGTGGGTGGGGATTCATTGACATTAAGCACTCGTGCAATGTCTCATTATGCTAGAGAGGTGAGTCTTTGAGCACAATTCCTCCCTGTCAGTTCCCCTCCATAATGCCTCTCGTGAGGCGAAACTGGGACAAGTGACAGGTGAGTGTTATGGCGTCTGTTCAAATTTTTCCATGATACGATCGCTATATTTGTGTGTGCTTGGACAGAATTCCCTCCTCCCTGGCCTCCGGTCTTTGGGAGTCTGTGTTTATGCATAATATGTACCCCAGGGCGATCTCTCTGAAAAGAATTAACCAAACCTGAAGAGGTTTTCAATTCTTTGAAGAGAGTAGATCGGGAAATGAGACCTCCAGCCTCCCCGCAATTCTGTTCACTGATATATTCAGCAGAAGGAATGATGATACGGGTCTAGGAGCCTACCCAGTTGAAGTGCGCATGCGCTAAGGGAGGTAACTCCGTGAGGTAGGGGCCGTATAATAAATAAAAGAGTTTATTTATTGTTCAATCTTTTTATTCAAAAAACATTGATACAACTGTCACAGGACATTTTTCAGCCGGAAAATGCATAATATGTACCCCAAGGACGACTCTCTTCAAAGAATTGAAAACCTCTGCAGGTTTGGTTAAATTTTCTTTAGTTTATTGCTTTTAAATTGAAAATGTTATCTTCTAATTCTTATCTTTTTCAAATCATGTGTGCAAGAAAGGTCATTCTTATGTCATCTTTATTTAATGTCAGTTTGTATTCAATCCTCTTTCTATTACATGGTTGTCAGGTGGATATTTTGTTTAAATTTTTATATCTATATTTCTATGAATTCCATATTTCTTAGCATGTAAACCAGCAGGATTTTGCAACCGTAATGTGCTATTTACTGTGCCAAATTGAGTTGTGATTTGTGTCCCATGATCCTCATCCCTTGGATTACCATTCCCTGACGTTCAGACACATTTTACCCTAATAGTTTATATTTATGCCATTTGCCATTTTATTATATCAATATCTATTTCAGCTTTTGCATGCATTATGATATTTATGTAAATACTGAGAAGTATCAGTGCTTGAATGTACAGCTTCTTAAGTCTGGCTTTCTTTGTTGCTGTAGCAAGCCTGCATGACAGTGGCTAACACTCAGTCAAATCATTCATATTCTCATATATGTTCCATGTACACTAAGCTGGATAAAGTGTCATTTGTTTAATTAAACTTAAGTGAACTGTCGATAGTATTGGCTTGTTTTAAAATGCTTGAACTTGCCTTGAGTGAAGGCATGGCTTGTTTTGATGTAGTTTAACTAGAAGCCTAAGTCAAGGTGCTGGTAGAATGATCTCAATTCACAGTATGGTATATAAACTGTTTGCAATTCTTCACATTTTGTATTGTAGTTGAGTCTGAAGTCTCCTGTCTGACAGCCTGAGAACAGATGTTTGTATTTGTGATGTCTGTTTACAGCTTAATGAGGGGAGAACAGTCCAGCATCTGCACCTTCATCTCATTGGAGGGACTGAGCGTGTCCGTCATCAACCAGATGTACCACGAGGTGGCATTGCTGTCTGTGGCCAGCAGTCCTTCAATGTGGGAAGTTGAGGTCAACAACCGGTGGAAGATCCTCAACGTGGAGCTAGCAACATGGCTGGAAGATCAGTGGAAGAACGAACAGGACCATGCCAACCTGCATGACCAGATAGAGGTGGGTGGATGATAGGGACGACTAGATAGGGTGGAGTTGAGGACTGGGTAGAACAGACGAGGACTAGATAGGGTTGAGTTGAGGACTGGGTAGACCAGATAGAGGTGGGTAGATGACAGGGAGGACTAAATAATGATGACGGGTGAAGGACATGTGGAATGGAAAAAAACAAGATCATGCCTGCCTTCAAAGCCAGGGAGAGACCAGAGGAAAAAAGTAAATATTCATAAATATTTTCTTATCTGAGATATGAAATGGGGTGAAACTGTACGCAGAATGAGTCATAATGAGAGACAAGAAGGTGATGAGTCAGTAGTAGATTGGCAGTGTCACAGATGTGTCTTTGTGAAAAGACTGGAATCCTATCATGACAGTGTTTTGTGAATACACCATGGAGATACAGACATTTGTGTTGATTCTAGGCTGATCTGGTGAAGATGCAGATGTCTAAGCCGTTCATGGGCGCCCTGAGACGGACTCATCCCTGGGGTGTGGTTCCAGTATCGCCACTCCGAACATCACATGAGTGTTTATGCAAGAGTACAGAGACTGCAGGTAGGTACCATCATCAACAGCAATGGTGCTGAAGATTTTACCATTACTCTCCCTGGTGCCTGACATCTCCTCTTCCTTCTGTCCATCACTATCATCATGTGCAGGAGGGTTTCACTATAGTGCCATGATTGTTTCCCCACGTGTGATTGAGTGACAACACTCCCCAGGTGTGTTGATGCTGCAGTCTGACTGAATGGGTTCTTGTTCCAGTTGGACAACCAACTGACAGACGCCTACTTCCCCACAGTGCTGAGTCCTGCTCCAATACCCCCAGTACATCCTCCGCAAGACAGGGACCAAACCTTTCATAGAGCTCAGTCTGATGAGGAGAACGGTCCCTGAACGCAACATTGATACTTTCAGGTAAACAGCAACTCAAACTTAAACAGTTTTGGCAAATTCTCTTAAGATATTTGGCCTATGAAACTGTAACTGTGTGGGGGTGACTCCAGATTTCTAAGAAGTTGCCATCTAGCAATGTTACGCTTTCTTTTGTCACTTTTGCTATCAGTTTTGTATCATTATTTAAAGTTTTATCTTGTAAAACATTGGAGTATGAAAAAATGTAATGAAAGTTTGAGGTTGTGTGTATTTCTGACACTGCTACAGCAGTTTTCTTCTTAAACATTTTTCTACATTTTTATATTTCCTCTCAAACCTGATTATGAAACTGGAATTTTGTTTAAATATATGTTCCAAGCAATGTTTGAAGAAATCTTGTCTCCTTTTAACATAGCAACCTATTGAAAATGTCATCTTCATTATTATTCAGGGAATTTTGCATGTATGAAACATCCCTGCTATGTCTGGTCACAAATTCACACAAACATTCAGCTGAGCTACAGAACCTTGCTGCTCTGTTGTACTGGATAGATTCCTTTCAGTTATGTGAAGCAGGATGTCTGTACACAGAGAAATATCTGGCTTTTATCAACCACCCTGGTGGTAAACTGAATCAGAATAATGCAAAAACAAATTTTCTACTTAAGTTCAGTTTGGCCACAGATGCTGCTCGATTCAGAAGAAAATCAGTAATTCTTAATGCGGCTGTATGAGAGCACGCTGTGCACTGAATGTCAGTGAGACCAGTTGTAATCTGATCAAGAACAGGCTGACGGGCTCAATTGATTTAACTTTAAGCTGTTCAAATTACCTTTAAGGCAATCAGACCAATGTTTCAAATTTTTGACTAAAGAGGGTGATTTTATTAATAGCTACAAGAAAAACCATCCTTGCTATGTGTAGGATCAGGGTTAAATTCTTCTTGATTTTGTTTCTGTTGATTTCTTTAAGATCAACTCTTAGTTTAAACGAAGATGTTACTTGTTGTATGACTGATTGGGGTTATGTGCAGGTACTTCAAGGTGCTGATTCAGGAGTTCAACATCTGTGTGGACAAGGGCTTCATGCTGTCTCTTCTTGATGTGTTCTCCAGCCTTCAGACCACACCACCAGAGGTCAGTGTACACTCACCACAACTTGTCTACCTCTTAAAGGGCAAATAGGCTGTATATTCAAGATCAGAGGTTATGTTCTAAGCACATTTCCTCCAGTGCCTCTTCAGAATAAGATGGATGGCAGATTTCAGTGAACACTCTTTCATTATAATTTTGTTTTCTTTTGGACAAAAATATATGACTACCGCTCTACTAGAGATACAGAATGTGTTTTTTGTATTCACACATGCCACATGCCACCCTCCATTAAATTACAACTGTTCTGTGAGGGGAAAATTCTGTGTTCTGTACTATTGCGATCTACAGGAAGGTAGACCATGTAAGTTTGAAGTGTATACCGGTATTGTTTTTCACAGAGCCACCAGTTGCACTCAGACTTGCTGGTTGCCCAGAGATCACTTCAGGAGGTCGCTGTTGTCATGGTGAGGACCTTGTGTCTGAATCTGGGATGGAAGGATATTGTTAAGATTGCATAACTGGACTTGAGGATCCAACATATCTCCATTCCTTCACAATAGAACCCATGAAGATCTGAGTTAGAATTGGTCTTCAGCAACCCATGCTTGTCATAAGGGTTACTAACGGGATCGGTGGGCCAGACTCGTTGACTTGATTGACACATCCCAATTGGTTGATCCTCATTGTGTCGATCACTGGATTGTCTTGTCCAAGTCGATTATTTTCAGACTGATGTCATGTAGGGGGAAAGTTCCAGCATGCAGCGTTTAAAGCAAACTTTCACTACCGATTCATGTTCACCATCATGGCCGTGTTCATGACATCAGTATCGCTTGCTCTCATATCACTCACTACTCACAGTAATCTGATTTAATATATGACAGTTGTTTCATTCCACTTCCATCATTCGAGGGTTTCAGTCAGTGACTGAATTTGTTAGCTGTCTCTGTTGCTGCTATCAGTAATCACTGGTTTATCTGACCCAGGTTATTTATAGCTGGAAGATTTCTGACATATATATAGCATGTATGGGCTAGTTGTATCGTGTGTTTCCCAACAGAGAGTCACTTGTTTAAAAAGTTGTTTAATGTAAGTGTTTCTTCCTAGATTGCAACCCGGCCACAGAGAGTGTACTTTGAGTTCCTGCATCTGTCTCCCCTAAAGGTGAGATCTTCTCTACACTTCTACACCTTATTGTAAAAGCTGACTTAATGCATCTGGTAGTGAGGCTTATTGACCTTATCATGCTGAAATAATGTGATGTCATCCACTGGTTTGTGCGGTGCACTTTCCTGAAGATTGTTTATATTTATAACTAATCACAATAAGAAACTATCAATTGTTATGCATATCATCGACAGTACTAATGACATTTTTATATTCCTTTTGATACAGTTCAATCTCAATGCAAACAACTATAATATGTTGATGGTTTGATAAACGTTACAGTCTTAATTTATACACACAGAAATAAGTATCACAACTCATATCACTTTTTACCTCAATATAGCTATATATATTCCTCTCAAAATTATGTTTCTTTCTTATGATTATTTTGACCCTTCGGGCACATTATGCATGAACTTAAGATATGCGAGCATCGCATGCAGTGTTTGTACCAGTCATTATATATCACTGGTACATATACAGTGAGACCTCGGATACCCGGACCCAAGATATCCGGAAACCTCGCCTTCCGGTCAATTTTTAGAAAACACCAATCTCTTACGTTATAAAAGTGACTGTCTATAACGGATATTCGGTTTCCGTTTCCGGACGGTACATTTTACAAACAAACCGGCTAAATCAACACAAAATTGACTCACCTATCCGCACGAAGCTTTGATCTACCGCTAACAGTGTGAAGGGAAGTGCGAGAGTCCCAGGTGTTTTGACACGAGACGTGGTCGGCTAATCTGGATTAATGATCATCAAGGTATTGGTGGTGATTAGAAGGCCTAGCTGACACTAAGTTAACCATTGAGTTCTAACTGTTAAGTTGTTTATTCAGTCAAAGCAATACTAGTGCAGCGTGTCGATATTCAAGTCAGTTGGTCTTTCAATTGATCACAAATGGCGGCACCCAGTGTTAGCAGTCCTCAATGAAAGACTTTTTCAAAACTGAATAATTGTACAGGAATGTCTATACATGTACAATAAACGCTTGATGATCATAAACATTTTTGATTTTCCTTGAGGTGTATGAAAACCAAAAATCCAGATATCCGGATATTCAATTATCCGGACGATTTACTTAAAAACGAATGTGTCCGGATATCCGAGGTCTCACTGTATATATATACAGTTGTGTGGCTCTACATTTGAGAACTGATATACCTATGTCATCAGACTTCATTCTTTCATTTGGGATTAATCAGTTCACTGAAACATGATTCATTTTCCTGCAGCAACCACTTTGACATATATAAAGACATTTGACTGTACGTAACATTCATTGTGTGTTCTCCACATGGTAGATGCGGGTGAGCTTTTCACTGAATGGAACTCCACACTTGGTGAACCAAAAGGTTTCAACTTTCGCCTCTGACATTGTGGACTTCTTCCTCAACTCAGTTGGCGCCACTTTCACCGAGATCAAAGGTGTTGAGCTCAGGTACATAGATCTTTATATCTATTCAGCCACGGCAGATTCAAAAGTGTCTTAAAGAGATATGGCTAAATATATTTTGGCATATTCTGCCAACCAGACGAAGGTAGTTTGTATCCTGCTTCTAACACCAGTAAATTCTTATAAATAAGATATTGTTTTGGATACTGAGCAAGTGCTGATACTGTCAGATGGTTGGCTAAATACAGTAGTCTGCTGATAAATTCGTTAGGTGAGCAAGTGAAGAAATTTTAAAATGAGACATTTCATCCAAATTGCTTGTTACCATACCAACATTACAAATTTTCAGAATGGCTTTCTTCCAACGCCGAGGTGCCCTGCTGTCCACCAATCAGCTGCTAACACAGATCCGCTCCCACTATACCCAGCAGGCCTTGCAGCAAGCATATGTCCTGGTGCTCGGACTTGATGTGCTGGGCAACCCATATGGTTTAGTGCGGGACTTCACCCAAGGACTGGGAGACTTCTTCTATGAGCCATTCCTGGTATGTTCTTTCTTCATCAGCATCAGCATCAGCATCTACTTTAATAATCTTGCACTTTTCTAAAGTTAGTTTTCTTTGTGTCTAAAGCCCTTGAAGGTTTTGTCACTTCAATGTAGATTTGGATTATGTCACTGACTGAGCAGAGTTATGTCCCGTAGTTGCCAGGATCTGATGTTCATGGGATTGATTCAGTTCATTTTTGTCCTTATTCAATCAGCTTCTTACTGCTGGATCTCCACAAACAGCTGCAAAATTCACTCACTCACTCACTCTTACTGCGTGTTTTCATCTAAATGTTATAGGGGTCTATGACTGATATCACTTTAGCTGACTGGACAGACACATGTCAGGTGTAAATACAGATATGAATGTGAAATATTTCACTTTGTATATCATAATGTAAACGTTTTCTCTATATTTATAGATATAGTTATTTAACAGAGGTCAGGTGGGATAAGTTGTGGTGTTGACATCAATTACTAGAAATAGAATGCGAATATGCTGAAAGTGGTATTCCCAATAGCCTAATGCAGTCGGATGTCTCCAATCAGATTTTTGCAGCAAACACAGTTATAGAAGTTGATTCTACTTTTGTCTCATTATTATGTACTCACAAAAATATAATAGTATTATATTTCCAGGATGTTTCTGGTCTGTTTTCAGGGCTCCATACAAGGGTCAGATGAGTTTGCGGAGAGTCTCAGTCGTGGTGTACACAGTCTCATGGGCAAGACTGTCGGTAGGTCTATAGTCTCCCGTCAACAACCTATTCTTTTATCGTGTTATCAGTTTGTTGTGACAAGTTGTCCTGTGTAGTACAGTGGAAAGGTAACACTGTAGGTGCAGTTAAGCAACTTGTAGAGAGTAGTTGGCTGGGCGACTGTGTTTTGTAGTTTGACTCCTGAGAGTTTTAGAGGTTGGTCCTGCCCTTCAATGAAGCATGGGTACATACATGTCTTCATAGGCAAATGACTTTGTTCAAAATATGCATTTGTTCCCAAAGCAGTGAATGGGTACCTAGTAGGATGAGATACCCCATGTATGACTATTAACCTGGTATCTGATAGTGAACATGGAGTGTACACTGATCCAGTCACTGGGGTAATGAAACAGTTTGTTTTTGCCTAAGTGAGCAGTTATCAACTGGCCTGGTATGCTATACAAATTGATTATATAGTGCTATGATGTTATGTAACATCCATTACCATGCAGTGTTGATATGTATGATATACCATAGACAGCAGTGACAAGTTTAGCTTAACACAACCTCATTTCTCCACAGGTGGTGCTGCTGGTTCTGTTGCCTTGGTAACAGGATCTTTAGGCAACGCCCTCGCTGCACTTTCATTTGACAGTGACTACAAAAGGGTGAGTAGCTTTGGCTGGATTGACCATAATGATTTACATGTAATAAAATTTGTAAAATACTAGTACATTTTTAAATTTTTCTTCTGTGGATCTATATTTCACCATGTTTAATTTACTGGACTCACTGTGACAACTAGCTGTCTTTCATGTCATTCCTTCCATTCCTTTGAAGGCAGAATGGTAATGCAGGGTTTTACATGACACAGAAATGTGCTTCCAGTACACCCAAACAATATCTTTAAGTGCATCGAGATGGACGCACAATAACATCATTTACAAAGTATGGACAAGAAATATACTATGGTCCTGTGATCAAAGTAATTATATAATCTTCCAGAAGGGTACACCATTTCATTTACTTTACAAGACACTGATTTTTTGTGAAGGGTCCCTAGAAATAAATTGAAATGGATCCCCTTTACCCTTATTTTTTTAGGGTTAAGAGGAAAGCTGGTAACGTGTTAAGTCATGTTGATAGAAGTGACTACATGCCTGTGAAGATCCAGGTTAAAATTGGTCTTCAGCAACCCATGCATGTTGTAAGAGGCAACACAAGTGATTGGGTGGTCAGACTTGCTGCATGTCATTATATCCCAACTGTACAGATGTTCATGATGTCAGTCACTGAATTGTCTGGTCCAGACTAGACTATTTACAGACAGCTGTGCAGCATTAAACAACACACAAAACAAGGAAGTGACCACAGAAAAGTGGCTGATGTCTGCATGGGTTTGAATCTGATATTTGGATTTAGGTTTAAATCATAAAGATACAACCAGTGATTATTGACAGCTGTTGTGTGTTCTCCATCCTCTTCATCACCTAGTCACAGCAAGACAGCTACTGTGGTGCCAGATGAAGTCACTGACACAAACAACACACCACTCACAATCTACAGCGATCACAAGAGTTGTAAGGATTCATGCTATAAACCAGAACATCCAATCTGTGTTGGTGTTGACAGTGTTTATGTTTGTTGTTGCAGAAGCGACGTACACGGCTGCAGCAGCAACCACGGAGTCTGCCCGCCACCATCGTTGTTGCAGGTCGCAGCATGGTGCTTGGGGTCTGTCTGGGATTCTCAGGGCTGGTTCTCGACCCAGTCAAAGGTAACCTGATTCATCAACATATCTTGCATCTTTGAATGGTTTTCATAGATCTTAATGTGAGTCTTTTTTGTGGACAGGCTCAGCGTAGTATTTTGACTTACATTCACTCACGGACACATTCCCCCACCTGTACAGTGTGTTTACAGCAACCATCATTAGTTGTAACAGGCGACCAGTGGGGATTTCCGGTCAGAATTCATCCTTACTGATTGTAGGAAGTGATACGGGTGGTCAGATAAGCTGGTGGACTAGTGTGTGTGTCACTAGGGATTGCTACTCAGGTTATCACTCACTGGATTGACTGGTCCAAACTCAGTTATTTACATGGCATTATCATATGGATTGAATATTGCTGATATAACCATCAATGGAATATTGCTATGTATTATCAGTTAATGTTAAGTCAACTAGTGTATCCAAATGACACTAAGAGCTTCTACACTTTCTGTTGTGTCCAGGAACTCATGAGGAAGGAGTGGAGGGTTTCTTCAAAGGTGTTGGTAAAGGTATCCTGGGATTGCTGACCAAACCCACGGGCGGCATCATCGACATGGTCAGCATGGCCTTTGATGGCCTGAGAAGGTGAGTCTTTTAGGAAACTGTCTCTAATATTGTGAAACGTTTAGGATGAGTAATGACTGTTTCCTGCTAAAACACCCTTTGTATGACCGTAGAATGTGGGTTTCTGTAAGGTAGTGAGCTTTCACTGTGCCAGTATTAACAATTGAGCAAACTGAACACATGCCGAGGCATCTAACACAGGAAAGACACAGACTTTAATCACTGTCTGTCTGCAGGTCAGCCGAGATGGAGGATGGTGTTGTCGCCAGAATGAGGCTACCTCGCCATGTCAACCCAGCCATGGTGAGTGGTCAGTCGGTATTCATATCAGACTACAGCATGGTTCAAACATCTTACAGGATCAGGAGGTCGCTGACTTCGTTAACTTCAATTAATTACAGTTACCATATGCAGTCAGTTTGGCTCAAAAGCGGACTGATAAATTGCAATCTAACTCGAAAACTAATAAACGTTGGTACTCAATGAAACGCTGATCATACTCAAAACATCAGACCAACTCTGTGAGTCTTGCAGAATTTATGTCCTTTGTTTAACAAGCTATCATTATTGACACAGTTCTCTATTGGTTTCGAGGGAGGAGTGCAAAGAGAGTAACAGCCAGGTGTATGAGAAGTGCTGACAAAGTTATTGATTCTTTTACCTGTGTTGTGCTGTCTCCAACCTTTCTCGCACACCTGGCTGTTCCTCTCTTTGCACTCTTCCCTCTTAACAGAGTGTAACTGGAATATTGCTGAGTGCGACTTAAACAATAAACAACTTACGTCTTCATGTATGTTTCCGATTTGGAACAGTTTGACATGATCGTGTGAGTGACAATTTTTAAGTCATAATTATTGTTTTACAGGGTCTGAAGCCATTTTCTCCCTACAAGTCTGTAGGTAACCGCCTGCTGCATACAATCTGTAAGGGAGGGTATGCCAAGTCGGACACGTACTGGACTCATATTCCTCTCAGCAAGGAGGAGCGAGCAGACGTACTGATGATCACAGACAGGTGAGATGACTCGGGATCTGATGGGAACACACTTGTCAATACAAGGGGTCTGATGGGAACACACTTGTCAATACAAGGGCTCTGATGGGAACACACTTGTCAATACAAGGGATCTGATGGGAACACACTTGTCAATACAAGGGATCTGATGGGAACACACTTGTCAATACAAGGGCTCCATGTTAGCTTGTATGCATTCTGTATAGAAACAACATCATGTGTGTTTGTCAAAGTACCAATAGTCAGTGTCTGATATTACCTATTTGCAATGCATTCCCAGCAGGTTGATATTGCTGACATCAGATGTCTATCCCAGCAATCTGACATAACAGATGTGCTTCTGTCTATCCAAGCAGTCTCCTATTACTTATGTGCTCATGTCTATCCAAGCAGTCTGCTATTACTGATGTGCTCATGTCTATCCAAGCAGTCTGCTATTACTGATGTGCTCATGTCTATCCAAGCAGTCTCCTATTACTGATGTGCTCATGTCTGTTCTTGCTCTCTGCTATTACTGATGTGCTCATGTCTATCCAAGCAGTCTCCTATTACTGATGTGCTCATGTCTATCCAAGCAGTCTCCTATTACTGATGTGCTCATGTCTATCCAAGCAGTCTGCTATTACTGATGTGCTTCTGTCTATCCAAGCAGTCTCCTATTACTGATGTGCTCATGTCTTTCCAAGCAGTCTCCTATTACTGATGTGCTCATGTCTATCCAAGCAGTCTCCTATTACTGATGTGCTCATGTCTATTCCAGCAATCTGACATAACAGATGTGCTTCTGTCTATCCAAGCAGTCTCCTATTACTGATGTGCTCATGTCTATCCAAGCAGTCTGCTATTACTGATGTGCTTATGTCTGTTCTTGCTCTCTGCTATTACTGATGTGCTCATGTCTATCCAAGCAGTCTCCTATTACTGATTTGCTCATGTCTATCCAAGCAGTCTCCTATTACTGATGTGCTCATGTCTGTTCTTGCTCTCTGCTATTACTGATGTGCTCATGTCTATCCAAGCAGTCTCCTATTACTGATGTGCTCATGTCTATCCAAGCAGTCTCCTATTACTGATGTGCTCATGTCTATCCAAGCAGTCTGCTATTACTGATGTGCTTCTGTCTATCCAAGCAGTCTGCTATTACTGATGTGCTCATGTCTATCCAAGCAGTCTCCTATTACTGATGTGCTCATGTCTATCCAAGCAGTCTCCTATTACTGATGTGCTCATGTCTATTCCAGCAATCTGACATAACAGATGTGCTTCTGTCTATCCAAGCAGTCTCCTATTACTGATGTGCTCATGTCTATCCAAGCAGTCTCCTATTACTGATGTGCTCATGTCTGTTCTTGCTCTCTGCTATTACCAATGTGTTTGTCTCTATCCAAGTAGTCAGGATGTTGCCCATGTGCTAGTCAATGTCATTGATATTAATGATGTGCTTGTGTAATCCTTGCTGTTGGAATATGTCTATCCCCAGTATTACCAATGTGCTTGTCTCTATCCAAGTAGTCTTGTATTGCTCATGTATTGTCAATGTCCCAGATTTTACTGATGTGCGTATATTATCCATGCTGTGTGTCTATCCCTGATATTACCAATGCGGTTTCAGACATCTGCTGGTGCTGGAGAAGCGTCGGTTCTGGGGAGGATGGGACGTGGAAATGAAAATCATCGTAGATCACATCCTTGGTGTACCAGCCATTGTTGGTGACAAACTTGTCTTCAAAGTTAAACAGGTGAATACTAGAAATTACATATTACATACAAGCTCTTTAAATGCCTGCTATATGTGACCCCATAAATATGATATGAAGTCTAGATGTTATCTGGTTGTCTGCTAACACTCAGGACAGTTGGCAACCTAACAATTATGGAGCATGTCATGAAAATGCACACATTTCTTACCTACCACTACCTAACCACCTACCAAGTACCTACCTACTGCCATCTTACCCTTCACTTCCAACCTTCCTAGTAGTCACTACAAAACTACCTACTGCCATCTTACCCTTCACTTCCAACCTTCCTAGTAGTCACTACAAAACTACCTACTGCCATCTTACCCTTCACTTCCAACCTTCCTAGTAGTCACTACAAAACTACCTACTGCCATCTTACCCTTCACTTCCAACCTTCCTAGTAGTCACTACAAAACTACCTACTGCCATCTTACCCTTCACTTCCAACCTTCCTAGTAGTCACTACAAAACTACCTACTGCCATCTTACCCTTCACTTCCAACCTTCCTAGTAGTCACTACAAAACTACCTGCTGCCATCTTACCCTTCCTAGTAGTCACTACAAAACTACCTACTACCATCTTACCCTCCCTTCACTTCCAACCTTCCTAGTAGTCACTACAAAACTACCTACTGCCATCTTACCCTTCACTTCCAACCTTCCTAGTAGTCACTACAAAACTACCTACTACCATCTTACCCTTCACTTCCAACCTTCCTAGTAGTCACTACAAAACTACCTACTGCCATCTTACCCTTCACTTCCAACCTTCCTAGAAGTCACTACAAAACTACCTACTGCCATCTTACCCTTCACTTCCAACCTTCCTAGTAGTCACTACAAAACTACCTACTGCCATCTTTACCCTTCACTTCCAACCTTCCTAGTAGTCACTACAAAACTACCTACTGCCATCTTACCCTTCACTTCCAACCTTCCTAGTAGTAGTCACTACAAACTACCTACTACCATCTTACCCTCTTCACTTCCAACCTTCCTAGCAGTCACTACAAAACTACCTACTGCCATCTTACCCTTCACTTCCTTCCTAGTAGTCACTACAAAACTACCTACTGCCATCTTACCCTTCACTTCCAACCTTCCTAGCAGTCACTACAAAACTACCTACTACCATCTTACCCTTCACTTCCAACCTTCCTAGCAGTCACTACAAAACTACCTACTGCCATCTTACCCTTCACTTCCAACCTTCCTAGTAGTCACTACAAAACTACCTACTACCATCCATCTTACCCTTTCACTTCCAGAACCTTCCTAGTAGTCACACTACAAAACTACCTACTGCCATCTTACCTTCACTTCCAACCTTCCTAGTAGTCACTACAAAACCACCTACTGCCATCTTACCCTTCCTAGTAGTCACTACAAAACTACCTACTACCATCTTACCCTTCACTTCCAACCTTCCTAGTAGTCACTACAAAACTACCTACTGCCATCTTTACCCTTTCACTTCCAACCTTCCTAGTAGTCACTACAAAACTACCTACTGCCATCTTACCCTTCACTTTCAACCTTCCTAGTAGTCACTACAAAACTACCTACTGCCATCTTACCCTTTCACTTCCCTTCCTAGTAGTCACTACAAAACTACCTACTGCCATCTTAATTCTTCACTTCCAACCTTCCTAGCAGTCACTACAAAACTACCTACTACCATCTTACCTTCTTCACTTCCAACCTTCCTAGCAGTCACTACAAAACTACCTACTGCCATCTTACCCTTCACTTCCAACCTTCCTAGCAGTCACTACAAAACTACCTACTACCATCTTACCTCTTCACTTCCAACCTTCCTAGCAGTCACTAAAAACTACCTACTGCCATCTTACTCCTTCACTTCCAACCTTCCTAGTAGTCACTACAAAACCACCTACTGCCATCTTACCCTTCCTAGTAGTCACCAACTCACCCTTCCTAGTACCTTCCTAGTAGTCACTACAAAACTACCTACTCGCTATCTTACCCTTCACTTCCAACCTTCCTAGTAGTCAGTCACTACAAAACTACCTACTGCCATCTTACTCCTTTCACTTTCCAACCTTCCTAGTAGTCAGTCACTAACAAAACTACTACTGCCATCTTTACCCTTCACTTTCAACCTTCCTAGTAGTCACTACAAAACTACCTACTGCCATCTTACTTCCTTCACTTCCAACCTTCCTAGTAGTCACTACAAAACTATTCCAACCTTCCTACTAGCCATCTTACTCCTTCACTTCCAACCTTCCTAGTAGTCACTGCTAAAACTACCTACTGCCATCTTACCCTTCACTTCCAACCTTCCTAGTAGTCACTACAAAACTACCTACTGCCATCTCATCTACCCTTCACTTCCAACCTTCCTAGTAGTCACTACAACTAAAACTACCTACTGCCATCTTACCCTTCACTTCCTAACCTTCCTAGTAGTCACTACAAAACTACCTACTGCCATCTTACCCTTCACTTCCAACCTTCCTAGTAGTCACTACAAAACTACCTACTGCCATCTTACCCTTCACTTCCAACCTTCCTAGTAGTCAGTCAGGATAAGGAAAAAATATGTAATTTTTGAGTAAAATTGATATTTTATACTTATCCTGACTCATGAGGTCAGCCCTCCCATCCTCCCCAAATAACACTTTGGATTTCCCTGTAAATTCAAATGTTGGGCTCAGTATATGAGGAGAGAGTGAGGCACATGGGTAGAGGTGGCGCCCTCGTTCCCGCGCTTGTGGAAGGGAGGTAACTCGTGGTGTACTAATTAGTGATTTTACATTGAAGGGAACTTCAATTAGGGAGATACAAGTGTTCCACTATGTTCGCAAGAGGAAGGAGACAAGCAAAAGAGCATGAGTCAGGATAAGTATAAAATATCAATTTTACTCAAAAAATTACATTATTGACACAGTTCACTATTGGTTTCGAGGGAGGAGTGCAAAGAGAGTAACAGCCAGGTGTATGAGAAGTGCTGACAAAGTTATTGATTCTTTTACCTGTGTTGTGCTGTCTCCATCCTTTCTCGCACACCTGGCTGTTCCTCTCTTTGCACTCTTCCCTCTTAACAGAGTGTAACTGGAATATTGCTGAGTGCGACTTAAACAATAAACAACTTACGTCTTCATGCATGTTTCTGATTTGGAACAGTTTGACATGATCGAGTGAGTGACAATTTTTAAGTCATAATTATTGTTTTACAGGGTCTGAAGCCATTTTCTCCCTACAAGTCTGTAGGTAACCGCCTGCTGCATACAATCTGTAAGGGAGGGTATGCCAAGTCGGACACGTACTGGACTCATATTCCTCTCAGCAAGGAGGAGCGAGCAGACGTACTGATGATCACAGACAGGTGAGATGACTCGGGATCTGATGGGAACACACTCGTCAATACAAGGTGGTGGTGGTGGTGGTGGAATTGGGTTTAACGTCGTGCTTGAGAATATTTCGCTCATATGACGACGTGCATGCGTGTGTATGTGTAAGCTGGTTTTATAGTGCTAGCCCACTGAGATACCATGCCACAGTGAAGCATGAATACCCCATTCAGACACATTATAGCCAACCAGTCCTTGTTGTACCCATAATGCCGAGCGCCAGGCAGGGACCAACAAGTACCATATTTTAATGTCTTTTGGTATGACGCGGTCGGGGATCGAACCCGCGACCTTCCGCAGTCCGGGCGGATGCTCTAACCACTACACCACGGAGGCGGTCGTCAATACAAGGGCTCCATGTTAGCTTGTATGCATTCTGTATAGAAACAACATCATGTGTGTTTGTCAAAGTACCAATAGTCAGTGTCTGATATTACCTATTTGCAACGCATTCCCAGCAGGTTGATATTGCTGACAGCAGATGTCTATCCCAGCAATCTGACATAACAGATGTGTTTCTGTCTATCCAAGCAGTCTCCTATTACTGATGTGCTCATGTCTATCCAAGCAGTCTCCTATTACTGATGTGCTCATGTCTATACAAGCAGTCTGCTATTACTGATGTGCTTATGTCTGCGTTTGCTCTCTGCTATTACCAATGTGTTTGTCTCTATCCAAGTAGTCAGGATGTTGCCCATGTGCTAGTCAATGTCATTGATATTAATGATGCGCAGGGGTGGAAATAACTTTAAAATTGCTAGTGTACTCCGGTACAGTTGAACATGTAAAATCACTTGCCCTGATAATTTTTCCACTGTACCGGGCGTTTTCTTGTTGAGTTTTGAAATAAACAACATAATTTACATTGGAAAGTCAACTGGACACCGGTACAGTGTGATATACAAATTTGCTTGCCAGACAGAAAAAAACACTGGACTCGGACGTCGGGCAATGGGTTATTTCCACCCCTGATGTGCTTGTGTAATCCTTGCTGTTGGAATATGTCTATCCCCAGTATTACCAATGTGCTTGTCTCTATCCAAGTAGTCTTGTATTGCTTATGTATTGTCAACGTCCCAGATTTTACTGATGTGCGTATATTATCCATGCTGTGTGTTTATCCCTGATATTACCAATGCGGTTTCAGACATCTGCTGGTGCTGGAGAAGCGTCGGTTCTGGGGAGGATGGGACGTAGAAATGAAAATCATCGTAGATCACATCCTTGGTGTACCAGCCATCGTTGGTGACAAACTTGTCTTCAAAGTTAAACAGGTGAATATACTACAAATTACATATTGCTCATCAAGTGCTATACAAAAATTTCAACCTTATTAAATGCCTGCTATATGTGACCCCATAAATATGATATGAAGTCTAGATGTTGTATTGCAGGTTGTCTGCTAACACTCAGTTGGCAACCTAAAAATTATGGAGCATGTCATGAAAATGCACACATTTCTTACCTACCACTACCTAACCACCTACCAAGTACCTACTTACTACCAGCGTCAACCCGGAGTGCGGTAGGTCGCGGGTTCGATCCCCGACCGCGTCATACCAAAAGACGTTAAAATATGCTACTTGTTGGTCCCTGCCTGGCGTTCGGCATTAATGGGTACAATAAGGACTGGTCGGCTCGGAGTCAGTATAATGTGTCTGAGTGGGGTATTCATGCTTCACTGCGGCATGGTATCTCAGTGGGCTAGCACTATAAAACCAGCTTCAGTCTGGGCTAGTACAAGCAGACTCACATACACTTACACACGCATGCACGTCGTCATATGAGCGAAATATTCTCAAGCACGACGTTAAACCCAATTCCACCACCACCTACCTACTACCATCTTACCCTTCACTTCCAACCTTCCTAGTAGTCACTACAAAACCACCTACTGCCATCTTACCCTTCACTTCCAACCTTCCTAGTAGTCACTACAAAACTACCTACTATTAGAAAGTAAGGATAACCCTACATAGAAACAGTGCTGCAGTCACAGATAATCTTGACCTTTGATCTGGATGATTGGCATTTTAGAAGTTGATGAGTAATAAGAAAGGTATGTACTTTATGGATGATTGTACCAGAAGAATATGTGATGTAGTTGTGAGGCATGTGACTGATTCTAACATTGGTGTTTGTTTCCCCAGAATGACTCGAGTGTGAACCTGTTTTCGGGGAGTGAGATGGAGATACGGAGTCCAGAGCCCGAGATCCTCACCTGGGTACAGAAGCAGATAGAGAATGTCATTCAGTTCCGTCAGCAGTGACTGATGTATCCTGGGCCGTACTGAGCCTCCTTATGACACCTTGAACTTACTGGACCTGGAACTGCAAACTTTCCAGTTGTATTTTCAACTTTTCGTGATATAAATAATGTGCAATGATCGTGACCTGTTCTAAGGAGAGAGTGTATCAGACAAAGACACATGTATGTGTTGGTATCTTTGTGCTACAGTGGGAACCTGACATGGTAAAGGTTTGATGATGTCTGATGGCAACCTCAGTAGATGACATCTGGAATATTTGGTCCCCAATCTACACCAGTCCTTCAGGAGCAGATGAAGGAAGCAGACCTGTGGTGAGGTCTCCACAGCCACATACTCCCTTTGTTCCCTGGGACCCAAGAAGGGACCAGGTCCTCTTGTGGTGGAGCCAAGGGGCAGTCCCCACAGCCACATACTCCCTTTGTTCCCTGGGACCCAAGAAGGGACCAGGTCCTCTTGTGGTGGAGCCAAGGGGCAGTCCCCACAGCCACCTCCTCTCTGTGTTCCCTGGGACCCAAGCAAGGCACCAGGTCCTCTTGTGGTGGAGCCAAGGGGCAGTCCCCACAGCCACCTCCTCTCTCTGTTCCCCGGGACCCAAGCAAGGCACCAGGTCCTCTTGTGGTGGAGCCAAGGGGCAGCAGGACCTCTTGTGTGTTCAGTTGTTCATAGAAGAGGATGTTCTTTTGAGGCTCCACAACTCCAAGGCAACAAGCACTACAACAAGAACAGGATGTGCCTGTGAGGACCTTGAGACAGGCCACACTGCCAACCCATGTTTACAGGTATCCTTCATCAATACTTCTTCATACAGTAATCTGACTTTACAGCTGTGTGATGGTATGGGTTCCACAGTTGCTGGGCTGACGTCTTCATGGCAGAGCTTTAGTGTCCCTCTCTCTTACGGACAGAGTGGATATGTTGGAGGAAGTTATGACTTGTGTATTCATTATTTGTATTTAGTTGTCTGTTATGCATATCTAATGTCAAGTTATCCGTTCCTTGTGTCTAATGGCAAGTTATCCATCACATCAAGTCAGCTGGTTGGGGACCAGATAACCAGGACGGTGGCGACACCTGTGGACAGTGAACAGGACATGCTGAGTCAGGCATTAGAGTGGAGCCATCTAGTTCCTCAACACTGAAGCCATGTATCTGTATAAGCATTGAGTGTTGGTCACAACTCATCTGTCAGGACACGTTTCTCCCCTTACTTCATGTCTGGAGGATTCCAAGGAGTCAGTCACCCTACAGACTAAATTATAGCATTAGTAATTTGTTATTTTATCATCGTTTTGAGTAGAATTTATGAAAAGATCATTTGTTGTTCACACATATTGTTGACAACTTTACTCACATTCTTTCAGAATTATAGCCACTGAAATTAGACATTTTAGAATATATTACTAATATATTTTTATTGACATGTGGTGGTAGTAATGTTGTTATCCTTCTGTGACTAGTTTCCCAGATGGCACTACATGAACTAGCTCTGTCTGTGTTAGCTACCTTCGTCCCTGATGAGGGATACAGCTCTGACTTAGTCCTAGCTGAGATTCCCCCTGGCTTTGATTCCAGCCGAGAGATACAGCTTTGCTTTGGTCTTAGTTCTGAGATACTAACCTAGCTGAGAGATAAGAATCTGCTTTGGTCCGAGCTGAGATATACAGCTCTTCCTTGGTCCTATCAGAAATATACAGCTTTTCTTGCTCCTGGCCGAGAGATCCAGTGCTGCCTTGGTCATAGCAAATATATACGGCTTTGCCTTGGTCCTGGCTGATAAATACAGCTCTGGTAGATACGTAACTTCTGACTAATTTATGAAGCTCTGTCTGGGGGAACTGTCTTGGTCCTAGATGTCTCAAAACTTTATTGCTGTGGTGTTGTCCAGCTTACTGGTATTTAAATTTATCCTCACTCATCCATGTATGCAGCTGTGCCTATGGAAGGTACCAATAATTTACTTGCTGCACTAATTTTTCTTGTGTCAACTCCAGTAAACATTTGTCGGTGTGAGGTCCCCCAGTCCTTTCTATTGTATAAAGCTACTGACCTTGAGGTCATGTAACGCTTTCCCTGCACAAGCCTAAAACCACCCTGGCTGACTCTCTACATGATAAGAATTCCAAGAAGTGGGCAGCTCATGTCCACTACATACTGCTTCCATGTGAGCAGGACCAGTAAGATGTGCAGACTTGTACAACCGTTTTCTGACAATGCAATTTCAGTGGTGAATTATTCATTCCAACAATTTACTGTGGAATCTAATCCAACTCATGGACCAATGTCTGTGGCCGGTTTCTCAAAACAATCATAGCTATACGTTAACATGGACATACAATTTGTGCACTACAAGCACTTTGTGACCGAGGGGCTAGTTCTGCAGAACCTTCATAATGTTACGATGATTGTAACTATTTAAACCAATGACATGGAGCAAGAATTACTTTGTGGAACTGCTTATCATAGAACCCATGTCCTATTTTGTCATCTTTAGTCTGGCTAATATCAAATTTATGTGTTAAAGGCAGTTGATACTTAAAAATACACCTTTGTTTAGTGATAGATCTATCAGATTGTATGAGCTTTACAGAACATCTAATTCTTAGAAATCTCCAATATTTGCTTCATCCAAATATTGAACATTTCCTATCGTTTCTTTCTCCGTCATCCTGACCGACACCAGCAGCGGGATATTTTGCTGGACTCGTAGTCACCATGACAAGCTTTCATGTGATATTACCAAGTCATGTTGATATATATATATGTTATATACCACGGTGTTGATTGTTAGTCAGTATTAGCAGCCTGTGTGATATAGAGAGTTATGGCATGTTATCCAGTTATAGCTTGTTTCACTGTGCTCATCCACTATACATATTGTTTATATCAATATACATAAATGTGATATTTTCTTCTTCAGCTTTTTCAAAGCTTAAGATTACCGTATGTGTTTATTGTATATTTATGTGTTGTTTGAAAGAGCTATCCCACCCTTGTCATGTGCAAAACACTTGCCACTCGATAGGCTCTGTGTGTAGAGGCAGATATATAGATTATCATGGTATTAGAAGATGTAATATATGCCAAATAATATATGGAACGTCACTGAAATGGCTGTAGAGATGTGTCACAAGATAGCTGTCGATGCTACTGTTGTGTTGTTTCCTGCTGAGGACAGTGTGAGACAGACAGAGTTAGTCATAAGGAAGAGACCTTTGGATAGAAACAAATACAGCTTACTGTTATGTTAAGGCAATTATGGGTAGTTGGGTAGCCCAGTTGTTAAAGTGTCAAATGCCCAGGTTCTATTCTCCATGGGTCCAAGTCTGTTGCTGATAGTGATAGATCAGTAATGTCAGTTTGCATTAAGTGTGCCCAGGTTCTAATCTCCATGGCAGGACCGCAATAGAAGGTAAATATGTCCTGATATTTTCATGTCGCCATAGTTAATAGAACATGGCATGATATACGAAAGGGTCAGGTTGTCTTCAACTTCTTGTGGGGATGTATGTCATTATACAAGAGATAATCATACTTACAGTATTTACAGGTTACAAATTACCATAACACACTCCTCATGTTACATAATCCAACGTTGATATTTTACTCTATTCAATGTCAATTGTTTGCAGGAGCTTATAATTATGTTGCATAATATTTTTTTACACTTAGTGTTTTACATTGTTATTGTTTTACGACAATCTTTCATTCACCAGTTGTCACTAGTTTCATTGACAACCTTCCTCACTGTATGTGTATGTTGTGTACACTTGACGGCATGGTTTCATGCTGTGGAAGCATGATGTTAACTTGTAAACATTCCAGTTTCATTTGGAGTATTATCTGTTGTGAATACACACTCATCCATTAGACCAGGGAGTACATCAGCTGTATACCCACCTGGAGATCTAGCTACTCATGTCTCTGTGCAGGACATTCATGCAGCTCTCTGAATTGGTCAATATTACATAGGAGCTGAATGCTGTTGGGAAGCCCAGTTCAATAATGGACATGATGATGAGGAGGAGGAGGATGCAATACTGCTAAAGTGGCACCAAGCATCTCTCAAGCGATGATGCAGGTCATTCCATATGCTACACACACACCACAACTTACTTGTTTCAGTATATTAAGCATGCAAACACTATATATATAAATATATATATATATTACATCTAGTGAAATTGGTAACTTAAGAATGGTCAGACATTTTTGTAATTGGGAGGGGGCTGGTGGTGGGGGAGTTACAATTTTTTGCAAATTTAAGTTGAAAGAAATCATGTTCAGGATCCAATTTCAAATACATACCTTATTTTCCTCCTGATTCTTCATAAAGCATTCTGATTTTTTAGAATGAAAGAATTTTTCAACAACTTTTAATTATAATATATAAAATCATGTAGTATTTCTGCTCAGCAAAATAGTACACAATTTGGCAGTTTTGTTAAAACAAAGTCTGTCCAAAGACTGTAGACACCTATTTGATGCAGCAAAAAAGCATAATCCAGCATTCACAAAACATTTGCATACCTTTGCTATCTGTTACTTGCATTGTCTGTGTGACCCAAGATCTACAAGTGTCAAGTTGTGTATGATATCGTTCTTCACTAGTTGTACTGGACTATAATGTTTATGTGCTTGTCTGAAGGTTCCTGGTGCTGAGGGCATGGTTTGATTTAGCTTGTTTCCTGCTTGTTTTGTCTCTGCATTCTGTGATACCAACTGCTGTACACCTGTAATCAACTACAAACACAGGAAGATGCCTCCGCTTCATCTACTGTCAGGAGTCCAGGTGGTCCTCAGCAAACTGTGCAGGTCGTCAGGGGAGACCAAATGGACCTGGGCCTCGATCCACAAAGCGTTTGTAGCGTTACGATATGTCGTAACTCTATAGTTTACTATAAGCTTACGAATGTCGTAGCGCCACGAAGGCTTTGTGGATCGGGACCCAGGTGGTCAGGGTCAGGTCATGGTGTGTGACCGCGTTGATCGTTCTCCACAATATCAGTCAGTTGATTGTCTGGTTCAGGTTTAACTATCACAGGTCACTATCATGTAGCTGGAATATAGCGGAGTGTGGCAATAAACAGATGACTTACAAATATCACCTGTACAACCATACAGAGCCATCACAGTCCATGCCATAGGTTGATGTAATCTATGTTATTGTTTCCAGGGATCTCTATGTACAAAAAGTGTAGTCACATCACAATTGGTTGTAACCGAAACAAGGATGTTTGGTACAAACCAGATCAGGTGGTGTGTCTGGCTCTGTTGATAAGGAATGGGCCGAGATATGGTTTTGGATAGGTCAGTTATAATTACAAGACTCGTGTATAAACATTCAATCGTAAACTTTATTCCTTGACATTTGCTAAAGAGCACACCTTTGACTTAAGATGACTGTTTTGGCCATGCTGAATAGCACAGCACAATATTAGAAGCATCATGCAGTCCTTGAAATGGGAACACATTCGTAACCTTTTGGAGCTGAATGTCATCATATCACATGTTGAAGTCCGTCTGATGACAACATATGTCTTTACAAGGCAAGGAAAGTAACACTCTGTAAATGTCTAGTTTCCACCCGAACAAGGCTGCATGTTTGGGGCTTGACATAACGGTCCCAGTGGCTATTGACACACTATATGTCCCTCTTATTGACTAATTGGAGTCAACTTCTCACATCACTAAAACTGGCTTCAAACAAAATGTTAAGACTATTTGATTGATTATGAACATCTCTATTGCAAACAAACTGATCTTGCCTTGGCGAGTGCAAGAGATCACTTGAGAACATTGATTAAAATCTTGAAAAGATTTGGAAAGTGTATGCCGATGCCCAGCTGATGGTAGGAACTGAATAATATTAATTAATAATTAGTTATTTATGTAGCACCTGTTTCCAGTTCATGAAGGTCTGCTCACAGGCGTTTTTTTAGGAAAAAAGTACTGGACCAACTTTGAGAAGCTTTTGAATGTGAAATTTGCATATCCAGCAAACACTCTGTAATTCCAGCCTATTTCAGCAAGGTTGCAGACTGGACCTTGCCTAGGGAAAATGGACTGTGTACTGATATAAACAAGCTGTGCACTGGTGATATTGCTGGACTGTGTGTGTGATTATCTTTACCACTGCTGACACTATCCTAGTTATATCACAACAATCTGTCGAATAAGTTATCTATTTCAGATTATTTTTATTTTAATCTATTAATAGTTGAACCATCAGTGTTTCAATGGATTTAGCACAACTGATTGTATTTCTGGGCAAGTATTGTATTACCTGATGGGGAAGACCTATGTTGTGTCAGTCTCCCATGTATGTGTGTGTATCTTGAGTATTGTTGATACTTTATTCTACAGTGTTGAATATCGTCCTACCTGCCGGCCACCCTGCTGTTCTGTGTATGGCTGTGTTATCTCTGTGTGATATATGATTGTATTCAACATGTTTCTGTGAGCTAGCTGCACAATGATTGGTCAGTTCTGTGCTGGTACATACCATATTTTCTGAAGATGGAATAAAAACATCCATTTTCATGCAATTACAGGAGTGTGTTGTTTTAAAGTGATGTTTATACTTCACGGAAAAGATAAACCTAAAACTGTTGAGGTCAACTACATGCAACTGCCTACTGCAGAAATGTCATAATGCACAGAAACAGTTTCGTGCAATGTGAAAAAAAGACTTGTCTCAACACAAGGGCCATACATCCAAGCGGGGGAATGTGGCCAGATGTCATTTGTGTCTACAGATTGGTAGGACACAGACATCCTACATAAAGAGGTCATGTTCAGTATTACTTCATTTATGCAACTATTAATGGTTCATTACAGAGGACACATTTGGGATTCAGGAGATTCTAATAAAAAAAGAAGCTGACTAAATATTGTCAACATGTTGCTTCCAGATGGCCTAGAGTGATGCTCATGCTTCCAGTCACGGGTTTGCCTGACTCAGACCTCAATGTATACAGGCCTCTTGGAGGTATATGGAATATTTTTGGGTGGAGTAAACCTTAGAAATGTATTAATAATCAAGAGTCAAAAGTCTTCACCCTGTGTTATACTGTGGCCGAGTAATTGGTAAAATATAACCCAAGGGTAGAAAACTGTCAGCATGTTTATTGACACAGGGATCATTTATAAACAATTCAAGCTTCATCGGCCATGTGAGCTTGTAAAAAATGGTCTGACAACAACAAATAATTTTTACATCTTAACAGGGCATCAACAATGTTTACATTTCAACAAGAATCATACATAAACAATTTTGGTATCACCAAACCAACTCTGCTGTTTCGACCAGATACATCATATTTTTGGGAAGCTTATGTACACACATACAGTCACAATATTAGAATTGGTCCCTTTCCATTCATGACAAACTTTCAAATTCACTGTATCGTAATACAGTCATAGGTGACAAAGAGTCAGTTTTCTGATGGCTGGCAGAGCCAATGAGAACGAAGTGTCATACATTGGAGTATCAGTTGGTAGAAGGGGGTGGCACTTTGATCTCTACACCATGGTTTCTGGTTGGTGCTGTATCATGTTTGTAAATATAGCAACTTAACCACAGTAATATATCCCAGGGCAGAGATGGTCTCATTTTGACGTCTACACCCTGTCCCCTGCTGTGACAAGTTCAAACCACTGACGGAGAGCATCGCTGAGGGTTTGTGGGAGAGAGTTGATGTCACGGAGGATGATAATAGAATGGGAACGGGAAGCTCTCCATGTACGACCTGATCTCCGGCAGCTGAAACAGGATAGAAGAGTTGATCAGTATCTCAGATTTGCTGGGTACAAATCCAATGGCAATAGTAAGCTACAAATACCCAAGACTAAGACTGACTGACTGACTGAGTTTTGGTTTACGCCGCTTTGAGCAATATTCCAGCAACACCAGAAAAGGGCTTCACACATTGTACCCATGTGGGGATTCGAACCCGGGTCTTCGGCATGACGAGCCAAGGCTTTAACCACTAGGCTACCCCACCGCCCCCAAGACTAAGATGATACCCAAGCATATGATACAGAAAGAGAGACACTAAATGATGATGAATGAAGAAAATATAATGATAATATTTTGGTTATGCATTGTACATGTATCTGTCAGTTCATTATATAGGGTGTTCCTACAAAATGGTTTACCCCGGTACTGCATTGCCATCTTTCAAAAAAACCCTGCTGAGCGCTTATGTTGCATGACCTTTGACATACTTTGAATAAACCTTTCCAAAGCACAGAACCATTCTACAGAAAGTATGTAGCAAGTTTGATAATACATACATTGTTAATTTAACTAAATGTTACCATAAACCTTGAGTATTTCTATCTTATTACCTTGAAATTTGACGTTTTTATGACAGCTACCAAAAGAATTCCCTAGGGACATTTGGAAGAAGCCCATAGAAGAATAACCTCTAATGTCATTAATCTATGCAAAGTAGTCAATAACAAAACATGCTATCTAAAACCTTAAAGCTGTTCTGTTTCACTACTACCATCACACAACACTGTCCAGCTGTTTCATTTCACAGCTCTGTTAATGATACAAGCCGATGAATTTTAATGTAAAATGAACCTGCCTTTTGTCCAAAGTCAGTGCTAATTTTGCTAATATTGCTAATTATTTGATCAGTGCTGTTTGGGCGAAATTCTAAGATATAATATGACGGCACTCAATGCTGCAAAGCTCTGAAAAGTTTAATACGTCAAGTAGTTTTAGAGAAACTTGATTTATCAGTGTATTATCCCACCACTAATATTAAAAAAATTATGAATTATCTCCCAGATGTCTGGAAAAACCACACCTATAATTTTCTTCAGTTTTAAAATCCATGTCATCAGAACATTTACACTTGTTTGATTTGCCAGGACATTAAAACCTTCATCCATACAGTTTACCAAACTTTTCTTACTGTAATATTGATAGAGGATAAAATTTGCATAGTACATTGACCACATACCTGTTTAATAAAGTAATATTTACATAACTAACGCCTTATGAATACCTTTCAACATAAACTATTAAACAAGCTACATGAAAAACAATCCATGGCATATCTCAAAAGCGAAAGGTTGGACAATAAATCAATTACCAAAAAAACAACTTCAAATTCATCTAATTAATAAAATATTTCAACCACAATTATAAACAAAGTATACTGATGATATATAGCTAATTATTTAATCAACATCATCAATATATGATTTATTAACATCAATATTAAACATCACATGCAAATCAAACACACCTCACCTGTGAGGACTGGCACCCGGCAGTGCTATATATAGTGCATGACTGCCATTCTTGTATGTGTTGTTAGAGAGGAGAGAAGGTTAGCGCTCCCCCGATAAGGACGGCTTCAACACAAACAAGTCAGTGGCTCTCTATTTAGGGGGGGGTCACACTTGTTTTTTTTTTTTTAAAGGTTAATATGTTTACGGAGTGGTCTTCTTGACTAAAATCTTTAAACAGTAATGGTTGGCAAATACAACTTTCATAAACTGTAAATACATCATCTTGCTGGGGTTTTTTTTCTCTCGGTTTTTTTTCTCTCTTTTTAATCCCGGAGGTAATTGGTAACAAAAAAAACCTATGTCATGTCAGATTTATTTTCATTTCAGTCTAAATATTTCACATACATTTACTATGTATACTTAGTTGTCAGTTTCATTTAGTTTAAGCAGTCAGCTTAACACAATTAATCTGTACTGTGTTGACATCTATTTGCCCCCTGCCCAGAAGCAAGAGACTGATTGGCCAAGCTAACACCTAGTGTTAAACTGTGTTTTGTTCACCTGCTTAATCTCTCAACACAACACAGAACTGCTCGGGATGTAACTGTACAAAGTGATCCCAGCTCTAAGATGATTGTAAGTCCCATACCTTAACAGTCATAGCGATAAGTTCGTCTTGTACAACAGGGCCCAGATCATCAGAGTGAACTTGTCCTCTCAAGTCAGTTAAATATCCATTATTTATATATTGTGTTGTATTAAAATAATTCAGTATGTTAAAAGTTAACAAAATGTTGGTAATATAACATAAAGATAGGTTATGATTTAGTATTATAATCTTCAAGCTAAACAGCCATAAACTGTCACTATTCTCTTTTAATGAATGCATGAAATATGTGTGTAAATATTGTCTTACTTCCTGAATGTTCTATCAACTTTTGTTATATATACTACCAGCAAGATGGAACAGCCAGATGTACGCGGAGCACGTGCACAAGTGCCGACAAAGTTATTGAATCATTAACCTGTGCTGTGCCCTCTCCATCCTTTCTCACACACCTGGCTGTTTATCTCTTTGCACCCCTCTCTCGTAACAAATAGTGAACTATGTCAAAATCTTAATGATAGTTTGTTAAACAACTTTTTTATTTTTAGGACATAAATTCTGCAAAAAAATCACAGAGTTGGTCTGATGTTTTGATTATGATCAGTGTTTCATTGAGTATTTTATGTTTAGTAGTTTTCGAGTTAGATTGCAATTCATCAGTCCGATTTTGAGCCAAACGGACTATACCAGCAACACAACACTTTCTGCCCCCATGACCAGACCTACTGACTGGAGACTCACCTGTCCTGCCCCCTTGAATACCGGAACCTTGATGTCAAGTATGGAGTCCTGGTCACAAGAAAATAAAACACATTGTTGATATTGTGCATTAATGCAAATGTATTTGGAAACCTGGTATTTTCACTCACAGCATCACCTATTCTGAAAAGATCAATTTTGTCATGTCATGAGAACTGGTACCTAGTCATAAGGAAACATGTATTGTAAACTACAGTTACAACAAACACAAAGGGACCACAAATCTTAGTTTGATACACATTTTATCTATAATATACAGAAAGTGGTGGGGAATAAAAATACATAGTTTATAGGGAAACATGTAGTAAACAACTCCACAAACTTCACAAAGAAACTTTAGTTCATCATCATTGTAGTTTGATACATACACATGTTATCTATAATACATAGCAAGTGGAGGGCAATGAATGTACCTTTTGCTATATCCATCAATTCTTCATAAGCAAGTTCTAGAATACCCAGCAGTATGAGCAGGACCACTCTGACCCTGACAACACCTGTTAGCCAACTAATATTCAACAATCTAAATAACCACACTTACAGAAGTATCTAACTTCTTGATACAAATAATAGACGTAATCTCGACCAAGCATTGTGTATATATTAAAATCTACTTAAACCTCATGCCTGGACCTATACTGAAAAGGACAGTGGATGTTGTTTCATGTAATCCACTACTATTCCATCTGTATAACAACAGTCTGTCCAATATCAAATCTGCAGCAGGTATAGAAGGATTGACAAAATGACCAACAGTTTTAAAACCATCCATTATGTCCTGCTAGATAACCTGCTATGTGTTTAACTCTGCCTACCTTCGACTGTGGATTGTCAATGATGACAAACACCAGGAAGATATTAGCCTCCCGAGCTCGTCTTACAGCTGATTGGACAACCTCCATTCCCTCCATGAACAATCCTCGGCCATCGGACACTATCAGCAGCAACTGTGACGTCTCTGGCTGCCCGACGGTGCCCTGCTGACGTTGCCGTGCGTCCACCATAATGGAGGTTGCTTGTTGTAGTAACTGCAGTAGATGTGTCATGTCAGTTACTGCATGGGCACATCTAAGTAAGTGTGGATTTGATTCAGTGAAAGTGAGTGAGGTTGACGTATTCAAGTTATAGATCAATATATCCATAGCAAAAGAGGAGTATGTGAGCCATCCCTGAAATGTACTTACCTGGGCAATCTTTGTCTTTTTCTGTTCAAATGTGAAGTGTTGCAGGATACTGGCTCCTGATTGGTTGGTGAACTGTTCGGAGAATGGATGCAGCTGACGAACACACTCACCAAAACTGCAGACAGCGAGTTCCCCAGACTCCAGCAGGGTCAGGGCGTTGGAGATCATGGCCAGTGATTCAAACGCCAGCTGAAACAAACATTGTATATAAGAAGGTTTACTAACAAAAGGCACACAACAAAATACATGACTGTAGAAGTCGATAGCCAGCATGATCTGGCTAGGGTGACCTGTTTAGAGTGGTTGTCAACCACCTTGGAAGAATCGCATATAGCCAACATGATCTGGTACTGACCTGTTTAGAGTGGTTGTCAACCACCTTGGAAGAATCACCTATAGCCAACATGATCTGGTACTGACCTGTTTAGAGTGGTTGTCCACCATACTGGAAGAGTCGTCTATTGCCAGCATGATCTGGTACTGGCGCTTGCTTGGTTTTGTTCTGCGTAACCAGATTTTGTCTTTACGAAACTGACTTGCGATGTAAGGGATAACCTTCCTCATGTTCAAGCGCTTCCCGGTACGGTAGTCTCCCCTGAAATGATCCAGTTCCAAGGTAGGGGGCAGGTATCATCAACTATGAGACTCACAAGCGATTGTTAAATTTCTCACGCTTCAAGGACAAGTTTCTCATTATCTCATTCAAAATTATAACAAAATGGTAATGTTCTCTTGTTAAAGATTACTTTCTGAGCAAAACTTCCCTAACTATCCATGACTGTGTTACAGGTTGTCATGATGTCAAACTCAATACCCATCCCCAAGTGGGCTACAGTCCGTCTGGATGTACCTGAGTTTGGTAGCCTGTGACGGTTCCAGCACCAGACGGAGCTGCTCACACAGATCCTGGGCCAGGCTGGCGGTCAGGGTGTCATACTGCTGCCACACCTCCGCCGCTGCTGCTTGCTGAGAGGAAATCACGGTTACATTCTTCAACAACATGTCTCTCACAATGTATTATACGTCAGCACATAAATAAGTATGGGAACTGATGTTAAGAATTTGAAGATATTTTACGTTTGCCAGAAATTTGTGTACAAGAATTTTCAATTTTGCTCTTAAAGGCCATATGACAAGAAATTAGGTGTATGCTTAGATCCAGGCTACGACATTACAACACCTACCTCTTGAGGAGTGGCTGCCTGTTGATGGGACCAGGCTGTTACATTCTCCTCCAACTCCCTCGAAGCTTCTCCTCATCAAACTCACCAACCTGGAATATGAGAAAAATATGACTTCAACCATTTAACCCTTACTCTTAGTTAGGATGCAATATACAGATGAGGGAATCCAGTGTTGTGTAGGTGGATGGTGGTGTAGGTGGATGGTGGTGTATGTGTGGTTCATGGGTACAGTGGTATCTCTAACTGCATGTGGTGCATCTTTTTTACATGTTTATTGTGTGAGTGAGTGAGTTGGGTTTTTACGCCGCTTTTAGCAATATTCCAGCAATAACACGGTGAGGGGACACTAGAAATGGGCTTCCCACATTGTGTGCATGCGAGGAATCGAACGGTTTAACTACTGGGCTACCCCACCAACCCACAAGTTTCTTAAAGCAACGAAGGTGTGGATAATATTATCATGTGAGAGACACTGATTCTGTCTGTCTGTAAATACTCACCCCAGCATCCAGATGTAGATGTTCCAGCACTGTATGTATGGTAGACTCTGGGCCCCTTGCTGCACCCATTGTCAGGACCTTCTCTCCCTCGACCTCCACTTTCTGCTCGTCCTCCACCTCCATGTCCTCCTCACCCCTGTCCTCTGTGGTCCTCTTTGTGTCCTTCCCAGACATCTTAGAGGCTTCCTTCAACTCAGTCTTCTCATCTTTCTGAAATACAGATGAGGATAAAATTGATTTCCTCATCCATTACAAACTACAAACATGCTCATAAAAAAGTATTGTTTTCAACTCATTATTGTGTAAACATAATATCTGCTTACCAGTTGACAACTGTCTGTGTTTAATTAATGAAAATTCTGAAATATTACATTTTCCTGCAAATTCTCCTGCAGTTCCAAGTCATCATCCTCTCCCATTGGCTCCGCCTCCTCTTCAGTTCTGATTGGCTACTGGTTGCTCTTCCTGCTGCTCAGCAGTAGCAACATCCAGGGTCTGGGCATCATGCTGGGAGGTGGCCTCCTTGATGTGCTCGTACAGGTCGGACTCTTTCTGGGGTTTGCTTTCCTGTTCCTGTGAATCTTCCTGCGTTCTGTCCACCGTCTTCAACTTCTTGTACTTCTCTTCTCGGGACCCTAGACTACGTTCTTGGTCTGACTGGCCAGGCCGGCGTTTGTGTTGCTGAGAATCATAGCATCCTTATAAGAAACTGAGAAGTTGTGCTGGTATTACATTTTTCAGAAAAGGAAAACAGAACCAGAAAGTGGATTGTGCTTTATGCCAAAATTGGCCAATTCGAAATGATAGCTGTTAGAATACATCCATCAAGGAGGTGCTTATATCATCAATCACCAGTTTATCTGGTCCAGATTTGATTAGTTACACACCAGCATGATTTAGTTAAAAACTACCACCTGTGGCATTAAACAACAAACAATATTTGCAAACAGACCAGACAAATCATTCAATTCTAGGCTGTGTTATGTCTTACATTTCTGGAGAAAGTGACTGTCTGAAGTCACTAAACTGAAAATGACCATGTTTCAATAATATGTGGAGATGGCTTACCTTCTTGTGTTGTGGGGCTGTTCCATCTGTCACCTGTGACGAGGACTCCCCCTCGTGACCCTCCTGTTCCTGGGTCACAGAAACACCCATTCCTTGTTGCTGGAACAACAACCACAGTCCATTTTAACCACAGAAATATTTACACATGGTGGGTTCATTATAAGGTACAATTTTTAGGACACTTCCAAGGTGAGATTTTACAAGCATCGGCCCTCCCCAATTTTCCTCGGCCCCGGACTTACTATTTACAAACAAAACCTCGGAGTCAGTTTTGATCCTTTACATACATTGTGTAGCCTTCCTGATTCCCCCCTCTGCATGTTTAGATAATAAAGGTCATGCTAAACAGGGTAAACATTACAGAAATACATAACAAACATTACATCAAAACAGCAGAAAAAGTTTATGAGGAAAAGTGACTCAATGGTCTGTGAAGGCCCACACCTCATATCATCTGTTTCATTAATCTTACCTCTTTCTGGTTGTTATCCCCAGTGGCTGCCTCATCCTGTGCTGTGTCTGTCATCTGGGCAGTGTCTGTGTCATGACTTGTCTTGCCCCTCTCGTCCACAGCCTCCACACTGTCCTCAGTCTCACCATCCTTCTGTGCCTCTTCCTCGGGAGTGTCCAGGTTATCCTCATCCTTGTAACATATCACGGGATTCAAGGAACTCATCTAGAAATGATACTTAAGCCTGACCCCTGCTGTCTATTGTCTGAAGAACCATTTCGAATACTCTGAGTACACCTGTGAGGTCCCTTGTATCTGGGATGAATCAATCTCAGTCCATTCTTTTATCAAGTCTATCAATGAAGCTCTTACATCTGTAATGACCTTAAGAATCCATCCTGCTTGAGGGAGGTTATCAAAATCACTCTCACAACAGGGTGAATTGTCACACTGGGAAAGTGTACCAGTCAGTCCTACCTGTGGGGAGACTCCAGATTCCCCCTTCCCTTCTTCTTCCTCGGCCGTCTTCTCCTGGTCCTGTTCGGCAGACAGAGGCTTGTCTTCACCTTCTTTTCCATCAGTCTGCAACAGAAGATCAGTAAATGGTTCACCTCCTCTAGATGCAAAGGCAGTGTCTCGCACAATCCACTTTCACCAAGGTCATTGGAATCCTTAGGTTGACATACTAATAGAGTAATATGTATGTGCTGAAGAAATGAATCTTCCACACAAGACATTTACACCTGAAGATTCAGGACCTAAGTTCAACGTTTAATGCTCCATTACCTCATCCTTCTGTTCTTCCTCCTCCATGTTTTCTTCCTCCCCTTCCTTCTCTCCTTCCTCTGTGTCAGGGACGTCCTTCTGCTCCTCCACATCCTCTCCTCCGCCATCTTGGTTGTCCAGGTCTGAAGACATAGATAAGAGCTCTCTCAGAAGATACAGATAATTAAAAAGCTATCTCACTAAACAACTTAAAATATAACAAACAGGACTTCACACAAATTACAACAAAGATTTGTCCAGGAGGTACAAAAGTGAATTTAATCCAACAATCTAATCATCTGTTGCCTGCTCACCAAGCTCTGGGGGTTGAGTCTCATCTTCATCTTTGCCAGCCTCATTCTCATCCAGTTTCAGGTCATCAGGGAGGTCGAGAGCTTCAGGTTCCTGCTCAGGGCCCTGGTTGCCATGGTTAGGATCTATCTTGTCCTCATCATACTCATTCTACAAGCAAACATGACATTTAGATTCTATTCACCTTTTACCAACACAGCCTAAATGCCATGAAATGTGCCTGTCACCTTTACTAGGAAACCATGCTGATAAAGGCTGTTTCATTTCCTCACCTCGTCAAATTCTTCCAGCTCATGTGGTTTCTGTTCTTCTCTGTTCTCTTCTTCTCCATCTTTTTTATCATCCTTTTCCGATTTCTGGTTGTCTTCATCCTCTGTTTTGTCCTGGTTGTCGTCCTTGGCAACCACCTGACTTTCACTCTCCTGTCCAGCACCAGGCCCGGATTCCTCCTTACTGTCCTAGAAACAATCAGAACGCTGTGAGGACATCTAGATGAGCAGGTGTAAGGAATAACAATCAAGGTGTCTGACCGGCACACAAAACATTTATTTGTGACAAGTACACAGAACAGAAGACAAGACAAGACTGATGTACACATGCAGCATGGACGACCCACTGACAAGACTCAGACCTGATTGGCTCACAGTGTCACATGTGTGTGATGCACGGGTATCGCAATACTGAAAGGGACCATCCTTCTCATGTTTACATCTCACACAGGAAGTACAGTACAACCAGAAATTATTGAGAATTTAAGATTGTAATTTTTTTTTTCAATTTTCACTCATTACTCACGTATTAAATGTGAATATGAGCAGAACATAACTCCAGATTCAAAGACAGGTGAACAGTTAGTATTTTGTCAAGTCACCATGGGCAGCAATGCAGGCTTCAATGCGGCGGGGCATACTACTGATCAAAGAAGTTAGAAAGTCGTGGTCCATGCTGTCCCAATATCGGACCACCTCTTCTTTCATTTCAGCAATATTTGTCAGATTTTTCTTATTGACACTTTCCTTCATAAGTCCCCAAACATTTTCTATTGGATTTAGGTCAGGGCTATAGCTTGGCCAATCTAATAATGTCATATTTTGGGTCCGAAACCAGGCCTGTGAATGCTTTGAACGATGTTTTGGGTCGTTGTCCTGCTGGAAAATCCAAACATTTCGCTAAAAAAAAAGACCGGAACACCCACATATAGCCAGGATATTTTCATATCCTGTGTTTGTATCATTAAGCAAACATAAATTTTCTGTAAACTGTTTTTATTTATTTCATTGTTGATGAGCAATAATGGTGCCTCCAACACAGACAACTGCTCATAGATGTCAAGTAACTCATATGTGGAATGACAGCACGTAATTGAGGGTTATTGCATAGGATGTGAGTTGTCTTCCATCAAGTGTAGGCTGATTGTCCAGAAAAGATCTGCATCCAGCAACTAATGATGTCGATCAGCATTCATGTCATGCACCCCCAGTGAAGGCACAGCCCTTCTCAGAATCACAAGACTTCTTCCGTTCAGTCAAGTAGAATGTTAAAAACAAAGTGGCTTCTTCATCATCTTTTCTCCAACAGAAAGGTTCAAAATCACCACAAATCAGCTGTGTATAGAGTCAGATGACCTATCAAACGTCTGTTTTCATATCCAGAGCACAAAGCAGCATGACCAGCTTAGTGTGAGGCTCAACATCACTAACTTGACGTCACAGTGAAGGGTCTATGAAGGTGGATTTCCTTTGTTCATGACTGATGGCCAAGCTTGTGTTTGGTGACACAGACACACTGCATATGCACAACAGAATATCATGGAGCATGTACCGTTTGGTACATCCAGACAGTGTCCACCTCTCCCCTCCCACCTACCTCCTTCTCTTGTTCCTCCTGCTCCTCGTCATCACTGCCCCACATCTGTTCGTCAGACAGTGTCCACCTCTCCCCTCCCACCTACCTCCTTCTCTTGTTCCTCCTGCTCCTCGTCATCACTGCCCCACATCTGTTCGTCAGACAGTGTCCACCTCTCCCCTCCCTCCTTCTCTGTGTCCACCTCTCCCCTCCCACCTACCTCCTTCTCTTGTTCCTCCTGCTCCTCGTCATCACTGCCCCACATCTGTTAGTCAGACAGTGTCCACCTCTCCCCTCCCACCTACCTCCTTCTCTTGTTCCTCCTGCTCCTCGTCATCACTGCCCCACATCTGTTCGTCAGACAGTGTCCACCTCTCCCCTCCCACCTACCTCCTTCTCTTGTTCCTCCTGCTCCTCGTCATCACTGCCCCACATCTGTTCGAGCGTCAGGCAGTGTCCACCTCCTCCCTCCCTCCCTCCTTCTCTCCACCTCTGTTCCCTCACCTACCTCCTCCCTCTCTTGTTCCTCCTGCTCCTCGTCATCACTGCCCCACATCTGTTCGTCAGACAGTGTCCACCTCTCCCCTCCCACCTACCTCCTTCTCTTGTTCCTCCTGCTCCTCGTCATCACTGCCCCACATCTGTTCATCCAGACGGTCAGTGTCCTTGGAGTCCACGTCCCCCATCTTTTTGTCAAGGTCCTCTGTGTCTGGTTCTTCCTGATCAGAGTCATCTCCTTCTGGAGTAAACATTCCAGATTACATGAACACATTTCAACAAACCATTTCTTTAAGCATTTAGAAACAGGTATGACAAAGGAGATCAAGAACTCTTAGAGGCAATCAATGCCAAACAATTCAAACCAACAATTAACAGAGATCAATTCTATTACACCCCAACAGCTTACCATCATCTAATCAAAGCCAATCAACAGTAACTCTTTCCCACTACTTGACCATCTTGCTTCATACCTATTATCTATCATCACAATAATGTAATTTTCTGATTAAAATTGATATTTTATACTTATCCTGACTCATGTTTAATCGCAAGAAGACAAGCAATTAAGCATGAGTCAGGATGAGGAAAAATACTATATATCGGCAATGTAATCGCAATGTACATCAACCTCCTCCAATGTATGAATTTTTTGTTCTTCATCCTAAACAATCTCCTGCATACAAAAAAAAAGCATTGCCCATTTTATCCATACTCATTGCAATAAGGACATTGTCTGTCCATAAAACCTGTTTCTCTACCTAACTAACCTCCTATATTGAAAAAGCAACATTGCCCACTATATGCACACTCACCTTTCATCTCTGCATCATCAAGCTGACCCTCGAAGTCCTCCGACATCTCTATGGCCTTGTCTTCCGGCGCCACGTCAGGCTGGTTGGCATCATCATTCTTCTGCTCCTCTCCCTTGCGCTGAGCTTCATCCAACTACACAGGGAAAACAGGACTGATACAGTAGAATCACAGAACTTCAGCATAATGTAGGAGGAATCCAACTTAACAAATGTTATGAACGTTTATCACGTTGGTTAAGGTGAAAACTGTCAACCATAACCTACATTGAACCCTATTCAATCCAGGTCTTTATTGTTCATGTATAACCTTGACTGCCCTCTAGCCAGTGTAAGCCATGTATTAACTGGTCCTCCCACTGGTGAGTATTGGCCACGTATCACCTGGACCTCCCTCTGGCTAGTATTGACCCCGTATTACCTGGTCCTCTGTCTCGATCTGGTCACTGACGTCCTTGGCTCCCTGGCCGTCCCCCAGTCCTCCTCCAGTGATGTCCTCAAACTCGGTGGCTCCCTCTCCTCCCAACTCATCTGACAACTCCGTGGGATGCAGAAACCCTGCCAACATACAGCACTCATGTATAGGGGATCTACACTGGACATCAAATACTGACAAGATTAACTTCTACATCACAGAACTGTTCATGTCCTGAAGGTTCTTGTCTTGTAACTTAATAACAGTTATTTTTCCTGAAGTTGCTCAACATACTGCACTCACTTTCTCACAAGTTTTGCTCATAATTATCAACTTCTTTTTCTTCATTTAGTAGCTGAACTAAAAAGCAATAATTACAATATTGCTGAATTACATTACAGTCTTTTTGTACTCTGTCTATGTTACCTTGGTAGCAAGTTCCGTAAACAGTCCAAGCAGCACTGATAAAAGTTTGCCTGTCGTCCGAAACAACCCAATCTGATGAGCTACAAAATATTCCACCATATGCACATACTGGTGCATTATGGGGCAGCATCGAACCAGCTGCTGCAGACAGGCCATGCTGTCATGGCAACCTCCATCAGAGGCAGAGTCCACCATAATCCTAAGGATGTTCACCAGAGATGCCAGGAACTCTGTCACCTGGAAAAAAACCACATCATCCCAGTAAAGTTTGTCAGTCAAGCTTCATGCTACAGTTCGTAGCAACAATTTTATGCCAAACACATCCAACAATTTCTTTCTTTAACTTCTGACAATCTGTTTGTTGAATCCAACAAATGTCCACCCACACCTGGAATGTCCATCCACGGCTGGAGTGTCCACCAATGCATGGAATGTCCACCAATGCTTGGAATGTCCACCCACATCTGGAATGTCCATCCACATCTGGAATGTCCATCCACACCTGGAATGTCCACCCACACCTGGAATGTCCATCCACACCTGGAATGTCCACCCACACCTGGAATGTCCACCCACACCTGGAATGCCCACCCACTCCTGGAATGTCCACCCATTCCTGGAATGTCCATCCACACATGGAATGTCCACCCACATCTGGAATGTCCACCCACACCTGAAATGTCTGTCCATGCCTGGAATGTCCACCTACACCTGGAATGTCCATCCACACCTGGAATGTCCATCCATGCCTAGAATGTCCTACCACGCCTTGAATGCCCACCCACACCTGGAATGCCCACCCACTCCTGGAATGTCCACCCACACCTGGAATGTCCACCCACACCTGGAATGTCCACCCACATCTGGAATGTCCACCCACACCTGAAATGTCTGTCCATGCCTGGAATGTCCACCTACACCTGGAATGTCCATCCACACCTGGAATGTCCCCCACATATGGAATGTCCACCCACATATGGAATGTCCATCCACACCTGGAATGTCCATCCACACCTGGAATGTCCATCCATGCCTGGAATGTCCTACCACGCCTTGAATGCCCACCCACACCTGGAATGCCAACCCACTCCTGGAATGTCCACCCACACCTGGAATGTTCACACTGAGACATTACCTTGTTGTACTGCAGCAGCTGGAGGTCAGCAGACATCGGCTCCATCAGCAGCTTGGTCAGGTGACCCTTCCTGAAGGATGACTCCTCCTGCTCTCCTCCTGAACCTGAAAGTGAAACACACTACAGATTACAGATCTATGTGGCTGGACAAAGAACAGAGGTCTTGCATTTCAGGACTATCCCACACAGAATTGTTGGTTAGTAATTAATGTCACACTCAGCAATATTCCAGCTATTTCATGTCTTCCTGTACATGATCAAGTCTGGAGCCGACAAGCCAGTGAGTTGTATGGTCAGCAACAATACATGCCATCAGGGTATGATGCTATGAACTAAATGGCCAGGTCTGACCACCTGATCAATGAAGCTGCTTCCTATGACCAGGTGCCAGGATCATGTCTAACCTTGACTATCCCAAAGGTCAAACAGCCACTGCACCTACCTTCCTGTTTCTCCTCCGTGTCCACATCATCAGGGTTGCCATGGGCCTTCACCAGGTTCTGTACAGCAAGTAGAGCAGCGGCAATGATGCCCTCCACTCCATCAGAGAACTTCTCCCTCTGTGCTGAGACAGGGCTGGGTGCATCAGTATCCATCTGTCTCAGACTGTCAGCGTCTGCCACCCAGGTCTGGAAGTCATGGCACACTGACTGGAGCTGCTCTCCTAGGTAGACTAGAGTCTGGTTGAGGCAGCAGCCGGTGTTGGAGATGGGGTCATCAAACCTGGATGACAGCTCGGACAGAAGTGGGATGAACTTCCTGTATTCAGCGACAGTGTCTTCTAGAACTTCAAGGTCACTCCTGTAGGTCAAAACATACATTCAGATTTAAAGTTCATAACATTTAGTATGTGTCTACCTGAACTTGAAATGACTAGTGTAAGTTGGGCTTAATGTCGTCTTAAACACTATTTCAGCTATATCCTGGAGCTGTGTCTTATGTCAGTTACATCATGGTGTCATGTCTTCTGCCCAGGGTAGGTAAAGGTTCAAGGGAAACAACTCCTGATTGCCTATGTGTATCCTTGGCCAAAGGGGTATAACTCTGGAGTTCTCCAACATGTCATCCATGTAACCATGTGCTCACTTTCAAAAGTACAGTTTTAGAAGATTTCTAGAGTCTTCATCCATCAATCAGCTGGTTCGTAATGTTCAAAGTACAGGCTTGATGTCTGCATTATTCTTCATACCCTTGATATCTCAGTAGAAAGATAATTATCAACAATAATTTTGTCTCTAATTCGTAAACAATACATTTTCACAAAACTTTTTTTCTGTAAAACGATCTGCCAATACAATAAAGATATTGTAAATCATGAAATTAATGCGTCACGAATTTAATGCGATTGCGAGGGTCTAGTCTAAAATGCGTCACGGAATGAATGCGAGCTCAGGAATCTGTGTTGATGATAAAATGTGACACACTGAATCTTTGGTGTTGTTCTATTTCTTTTCACACTTGTTCTTTACCAAATAACCTGAATGGAGCTTATTAAGCAATGAATGGAAATGATCTGAAGATATTTTGATTACGCTGCCATTTTTGATCACGAGCTTGCTTGCTACTACTTGTCTTATGACAACATGTACAAGTCATCTACCAAGGTACAACAAACATGTGGCTGGAGAATGTCCAGTCTGGCTGACGTGCTTGAGTGACTTTAAACAATGATCAGTGATAATTACATGTGGTTTGAGATACCTGTAATGAGGAAGCGACCTGTATTGGTGTAATGTGTAGTGTCAACAGATTTACATTTTCTGTCTTTTATTAAGTAGATATGGTCAGACTGAAATGCGTCATTATAATAATGTGAGAAGAGTACAGACGCATTTTTCGCATTAATAAAATGCTCGCATTTATTTCATGATTTACAGTAACAACCAGCCTTAAACTGAGCCTGAAACACTCACCACTGATAGCACACATGATCTATCTTCAATATTTTGCCCTGTTCTGCCTCAGCAACTTTCAGCATATCCTGCACAAAATGAACCACACGTCTTCAGTGCATCAAACATCACATACAAGCAAAAACAGTCAAATATCAAATATCACATCAACTATCACATACAAGCGAAAACAGTCAAATATCAAATATCACATCAACTATCACATACAAGCGAAAACAGTCAAATATCAAATATCACATCAACTATCACATACAAGCGAAAACAGTCAAATATCAAATATCACATCAACTATCACATACAAGCGAAAACAGTCAAATATCAAATATCACATCAACTATCACATACAAGCGAAAACAGTCAAATATCAAATATCACATCAACTATCACATACAAGCGAAAACAGTCAAATATCACATCAACTACTGTAAACGTACTTATTTTCGCGTGGTGCAATTTTCGCGGAATTGACTGTTTAGACTACATTGCGCGGTCAATTATTCGCGCAATCAGTAATTGCCGGAACTGCCAGCTGTCTCTTTGGCCGCCACTAATAGCAGTGAAAACAAACAGAGTGGCTTAACCTGTCAGGCTGTGTTTATTGCTTACTCACAGGAAATCCCTATCTGTGCGATATACTAGTACACAGTAATCCGTTTACTCCCAGAAGAGATGAAAAACACATCACAGTGTTAGTGACTATTCGCTTCATGATGTACTGGTGAATAAAATCTTAATGAATAAATAAAATACTGCTGTATTATTTCTTTCCGAGTCGTTTCACGGTAATCTGTTTTGTATCAAACCATCTGTCATGTGACCAATTTCCATGGCGGCCACAACACACATTGCTGTTTTCGCTAATTCGGCAATGGGATTTGGTTCACTATTTAATTATGTTTTGGGAAATCCATTACAGCGACAGTTAAGTATGATCAGTCGTCATTTTAAGATTTCTGTTGATTTCTGTCTTCAAACGTGATGTGTTATGGTAACAACTCAGGGGCGAGCGTGGCTAGACTGAATGAATGACAGGTTTATTCGCGGTGTATAAATTTTCGCGCTAAAACCTGCACGAAATATAATACGTTTACAGTATCACATACAAGCGAAAACAGTCAAATATCAACTATCACATCAACTATCACATACAAGCGAAAACAGTCAAATATCAAATATCACATCAACTATCACATACAAGCGAAAACAGTCAAATCTTTTCTTCATTAATAATCATACAATGCACCAGTTGATTCAACTTACCCTGACCGTCTGCACACATCTGGTCCACCCTTCATCCCCCTGGTGGAGTAGCGCCATGGGAGACAACTCTTCTGGAGGGTAGGGGGATGGGTACGGCCTAGCTCCATCTGCCTCCTTGGGACATGTGTAGAGCAACACCAGGTACTGGCTCAAACCCTCCAGCAGCTGCACTGACACATGTTTCAGTTTGTCCTGTAAAGACAAACAGAGAGATTCATAGACCCTCGGCATATTGGTGCATCACAGTCACTGAGGGGATGTTGTTATAGTCAGCCAGTACATCTATATTGGTGCATCATAGTCACTGAGGGGATGTTGTTATAGTCAGCCAGTACATCTATATTGTGACAGCCTCTAAGAAACAAGCAATGATCTGTGCCAGTGCCTCATTTCACAAAGCAATGGTGCAAAAGGATCAGTTTCATTCCATTCTGGTGTCACTACCTTGATTTCCCGCTCAACATCATATTATCACAACATCTTATTATCACAACATCATATTATCACAACATCATATTATCACAACATCTTCTTCAGTGTTCAAGAAAGAGAGTTACTACAGTGATCAATTCTCTTTGCTGAACAAGTGCCAGACGTATTACAGCAAGCATGAGTCACCACTGGACGTATCATCTCACACAAACGTCCTATAGTGATACTCAACTTCATGATATCATTATGCTGTGTCAGTCGCTGTAACAAGCAGCCTGGGTGCTAAGAAGCATGCATTAAATATTGTGTTCAAATTGTGAGCAGCTGAAACCAACTAAACCCTTATCAATAATACATAGAGTAACTAGACCGATGTGCCATGCTGTCCTGTAACAAACTGTGCAGTATACAGTAGAAAATGCAGCTGTTTTGATCTTAGTACATGTACTACCGGTGCATGTTGCTTATAAGATAACAGATTGACCTTGAAGACAACAGATTGACCTTGAAGATAACAGATTGACCTTGAAGATAACAGATTGACCTTGAAGATGCACATAATGGAGCATTGCACTTACAACAACAGTACTGTCAACAGACTACAGACATGCAGTGGAAGTAAGAAGTGAGTGAGTGAGTGAGTATGGTTTTATGCTGCTTTTAGCAATATTCCAGCAATATCACAGCGAGGGACACCAGAAATGGGCTTCACACATTGTGCCCATGTGGGGTATCAAACCTGGGTCTTCAGCGAAACGAGTGGCCGCTGAACCATAAGGCTACCCCACTGCCCAAGGAAGTCAGGAAGAGGAATCTAACAGTTACTCACTATCCATTCTTGGGTCGTCTTCTGTGGAGGAAGACTGGCTTTGACCTGCAGCTTGTTCACTGATGCCATCAGTTTCCTGTAATATAGACTTGTTAGATCTACTTCTATGACATACACAAAACCCTGAGCAATCATCAGGAAACTAGGAATCATGCTCAATTTGGTCTGCAAAAATAAAATGTTCCCATCTATTCTACATCTAATCAAAGCATCAACTGACTGCTTACATATGGTAAATCAAACATTTTAATAACTGGGTCAAATTATTCTTTAGGAGGGTTGAATTTAATTGGACACTATATTTCAGGGACAACTCCCAGCTCCAAAGAAGTCAGAACATCACAGCTTCTGTCTTCTTCTTTTCATCTATGAGCAGTCTCACCTAAGCTGGAGGTACTGACTAAAGATGGCCGACAGCTCCTGTTGCTGCCCTGTCAACATGTGCATCAGGTGCTCCACAAACCCTCGACACCGGCTAATGTTACCCATACCAAGTTCCTGAAACAAACATCACAATCACCATACTTAATAATCAAGTCTGGACCACACAATCCAGTGACTGATACTCACATCGATGCACCCTATACCTGTACAGCAACACACAACATGAACTTAATGTTCCACTGCAAGAAATGGTAACCAAGGGGGAGATACTGGTTGCTTGTTGTAGAAGTCATCAATGTGCTAAATGTTGTGACAAAGCAAATTGAAACTAAAACACATTTCAGAGAGCATCACAGGCTTACCTTGGAGGGTGAGTGTAGAGCGACTGTCAGCCTGGCCCTCCTGGCCACGCAGCGGTAGTAGTACTTGAGGCAGTCACTCCACAGTCCCGACAGCTCTCTGGAAACACCAACCTCTGTATCAACCATCTCACGTCAATTATCTTGTATCAACCATCTGACATCCATTATCTTGTATCAACCATCTGACATCAATTACCTTGTGTCAACCATCTCACATCCATTATCTTGTGTCAACTATCTGACATCCATTATCTTGTGTCAACTATCTGACATCCATTACCTTGTGTCAACTATCTGACATCCATTATCTTGTATCAACCATCTCACATCCATCATCTTGTATGAACCATCTCACATCCATTATCTTGTATCAACCATCTCACATCCATTATATTGTATCAACCATCTCACATCCATTATCTTGTATCAACCATCTTACATCCATTATCTTGTATCAACCATCTGACATCCATTATCTTGTATCAACCATCTGACATCCATTATCTTGTATCAACCATCTCACATCCATTATATTGTATCAACCATCTCACATCCATCATCTTGTATCAACCATCTCACATCCATTATCTTGTGTCAACCATCTCACATCCATTATTTTGTGTCAACCATCTCACATCCATTATCTTGTGTCAACCATCTCACATCCATTATCTTGTAGCAACCATCTCACATCCATTATTTTGTATCAACCATCTCACATCCATTATCTTGTATCAACCATCTTACATCCATTATTTTGTATCAACTATCTCACATCCATTATCTTGTATCAACCATCTCACATCCATTATCTTATATCAACCATCTGACATCCATTATCTTGTATCAACCATCTCACATCCATTATCTTGTAGCAACCATCTCAGATCCATTATCTTGTGTCAACCATCTGACAGACGTTATCTTTTATCAACCATCTCACATCCATTATCTTGTAGCAACCATCTCAGATCCATTATCTTGTGTCAACCATCTGACAGACGTTATCTTGTATCAACCATCTCACATCCATTATCTTGTAGCAACCATCTCACATCCATTATCTTGTAGCAACCATCTCACATCCATTATCTTGTAGCAACCATCTCACATCCATTATCTTGTATCAACCATCTCACATCCATTATATTGTATCAACCATCTCACATCCATCATCTTGTATCAACCATCTCACATCCATTATATTGTATCAACCATCTCACACCCATTATCTTGTGTCAACCATCTGACAGACATTATCTTGTATCAACCATCTCACATCCATTATTTTGTATCAACCATCTCACATCCATTATCTTGTATCAACCATCTCACATCCATCATCTTGTATGAACCATCTCACATCCATTATCTTGTATCAACCATCTCACATCCATTATATTGTATCAACCATCTCACATCCATTATCTTGTATCAACCATCTGACATCCATTATCTTGTATCAACCATCTGACATCCATTATCTTGTATCAACCATCTGACAGACGTTATCTTGTATCAACCATCTCACATCCATTATCTTGTATCAACCATCTTACATCCATTATTTTGTATCAACTATCTCACATCCATTATCTTGTATCAACCATCTCACATCCATTATCTTATATCAACCATCTGACATCCATTATCTCGTATCAACCATCTCACATCCATCATCTTGTAGCAACCATCTCAGATCCATTATCTTGTGTCAACCATCTGACAGACGTTATCTTGTATCAACCATCTCACATCCATTATCTTGTATCAACCATCTCACATCCATTATCTTGTATCAACCATCTGACATCCATTATCTTATATCAACCATCTGACATCCATTATCTTGTATCAACCATCTCACATCCATTATCTTGTAGCAACCATCTCAGATCCATTATCTTGTGTCAACCATCTGACAGACGTTATCTTGTATCAACCATCTCACATCCATTATCTTGTATCAACCATCTTACATCCATTATTTTGTATCAACTATCTCACATCCATTATCTTGTATCAACCATCTCACATCCATTATCTTATATCAACCATCTGACATCCATTATCTTGTATCAACCATCTCACATCCATCATCTTGTAGCAACCATCTCAGATCCATTATCTTGTGTCAACCATCTGACAGACGTTATCTTGTATCAACCATCTCACATCCATTATCTTGTATCAACCATCTCACATCCATTATCTTGTATCAACCATCTCACATCCATTATCTTGTAGCAACCATCTCACATCCATTATCTTGTAGCAACCATCTCACATCCATTATCTTGTAGCAACCATCTCACATCCATTATCTTATATCAACCATCTCACATCCATTATATTGTATCAACCATCTCACATCCATCATCTTGTATCAACCATCTCACATCCATTATATTGTATCAACCATCTCACACCCATTATCTTGTATCAACCATTTGACATCTATCATCTTGTATCAACCATCTCATATCCATTATCTTATATGAACTAACTGACATTCTTTTTTTCTTCTTTTATTTTGTTGTTAAAACGTCACACTCATCAATATTCCAGTCATACGATTGTGGACGGTTAATCACATGAGTAGGGAATATGGTCTGCATTATTGTCACCTAGTAAACTTTGATGTCGGATGGTTCTGATCACAGCCAGAGTGAGTGATGTAGTGAGCAAGTGTGTTTATCATCCAAAACTGTGTTCCACAGGAGATATCGTTTGTGTGAGATCAGACGATATCTCCTAGGAGATACCGTTTTGCCAGTAGATTTTGCACAATGCCCTGACAATGCTATGACATCATGCACTGCAAATCTAATGGCAGTACTGTGTTCAGAGATGTACATTTTTCATTGAAAACTAATGAAGAGTGATTTTTGATGATAAATAGAATCTCACCCTCCTGTCTCCTGATATCAAATATATCAACACTCGTTGATAAATGTTAAAATATCCTCGGCAAGCCTTGGATATTTGTTACTTTATCAACTCGTGGTGATATATTTGATATCACAAGACACTCGGGTGAGATTCTCTATGTCCGTCCAAGTGAGCAGTTTGACACAGCATTTAGCAGTAATCCAGCCATATTACAATGGGGCATACTAGAAATGGATGGGCTCCACATTCTGTAACCATGGGCGGAAATAGAACTCAAGCCCCTATGAGTCAATACATCCCCTATCTAACCTGCTAGCAGTGGGCTTTACACCTCATACATGACAACTTACGTTGATTCTTCACCAACACCAGCAACAACATCAATGGGCGACACCAGCATGACTTTCCCTTCACCTTCGTCCACCATTGTCAACCCCTTCCTGTAGGACAACCCTGTACACAGCAGAAACAATGACTGTCAACACAAACCAACTTAGACTCAGACGTCATCAATAAACAATAGAAGACCCATCAACATAACATTACAAGACCAAAAGATCCTGTTCTTGGACTGCTACACACCTGCTGTTGTCAGATGCCGGAACAGATCTGCTAGACTCTTCCTCTTTCGAAGGTTCATCAGCTTGGCTTCTGACTTTTGGTGCTCTTTGTCCAGACCCTGTAACCATGGCAACAAGAAGAGGTAATACACATCTTGACCAAAAACAGAACTTACATCATCTACCAGTAACTCATTCATTTTAATACCATTTTACTTTAAAAATAAAGTTTATGTTAAGCTCATGTGTATTGGTATAGTTTTGACCTGAAAAATTGAAGTTAAATCAAAACACAAGGAAACCTGCCCCCTTTTGAGTGTGCTTCTCACGTGATTTTCACATCAGCTTATTTTGAAACCATTCATTGTGCAAGCTTATTTCTTAAGAAATCAAGTTTATGTAAAGGTTATGTGTATTGTAGTAGTTTTGACCTGAAAAATTAAAGTACAATTTTAACACAAGGAAATCTTAACCTTTGTGAAGGTGCTTTTCTGAAAAGAAAAATTCACATCAGCTTATTACTCACAATACAAAGTAGTAGTAGCCTCTATAGGTCTATGTAGGACAGATTTAGAAAAATTTTATGGGATCAGAGACCCACAATGAATCAGGACGTCAAGCATAAGATTAACCTCCATATTTAATATATACTGAGAGAAACAAATAAAGGAGCACAGGAAAATATAAGCATTCCTTTAATATTTTCCAGTTTTCATCACCAGCTTTAAATAACACTGTGGTGATGAAAACTGGAAAATAATAAAAAGAACGCTTGAATTTTCCTGTGATCCTTTATTTGTTTCTCTCAGTATATATTACTCAAATGAAGTCAAAGAACACCTGATTATTCCATAGCAGTAAAGTCATTCTGTCATGAGTAGTGTTGTTGGTTCTTTTGACAACTACCAGTGTCTGATGCTATTTTGTCTTCTAAGATGTGCCAACAGTACTTTATCAGACGATAATGTGCACTTTTTGCATTACGTCACAATGTATTGGCGTCACTGTGACATTCTAGTCTGCCCCTTTGTAATCGAATAATTTTGCATTACGTCACAATGTAAGCGACGTCACGATGCATGTCAGTTGTCATCGCCTCCTGCAGTAAACTACTCCGTTGCATCCCGTTTCTTGGTTTGCAGTTGCTTCATGCAGCTAACATCACTGGTGGAAACATTACGTTTATGTTTTCCGACGGTTAAAATGTCTCAATTCGACTAACAAGTGTTCAGCAACACGGTAACGTTCGCAATGTTTACATTCCCACAATGCAATCGTGGAATGTCGCTTGACTACTCAGCTTCATCTGGATGTACTGATCTAAACTTAAGTTGGTAGTAGAAATACGACGTTCATATTGCTCCATATGGTTTACGTTAATCACAGATGTAATTAAAATAATTTAGAGAAGATAATTAATACGAAGGTAAACTGTCATTAAACTGTTATCATTTGTTTTTTTCTGGTAACGTTCGTCTTAACGTAGGGGGGCAGACACATCAATAGAACAGCGCGCCAGTTAGCCCTGTGCGAGGATTCGTAATTTAGGTCACCGACACCGTCGTTTGTTTTCTGCCTTAAATTAATCGTAATTATCCTTAGAAACTATTAAATTTGTCAAGCGTCCTCGTACTTTAACTATAATAGTTCAGGGCGGAAGTGTGCTTTATTACACTATACATGGTGGTAGAGCGAACTGTATTTCTTAATTAAAAACTCTATGGGATGCATTCCAACTGACCGGTGTGACTTCCTCAGCCTGAAGCTCATGGACAGACTCAATTATCTCCCCTGTGAACTCATCAAGGACAGTGATGAGCTTGGTGTAGCGCATGTTGGACAGAGTTCTTCTCCAGTGTTTCTGGACCCGCATCGTCAGTGATGGCAGACGGGACTGCAGGCTGCCAGCAGACGCAGGAACTGTAGCCAAGTCAGGTTCATGTTTCTGGGCAGAAATCATTAACTACAGTAAACTATATGTGTAATGGCTGTGATTCTCAAACCTTTCCACAGTGATTTTATTGTGAATAAAATGTTAATATAAAACAACAGGTCCTCCTGTGTAAACACATGCGTGATATTAATTAACCACAGACATGGAGAACATTACAGGTGTTCTGATAAAACCAAACAAAGGGTATCAAAGATGACTACTTCTTCTACGTCATATCAATAGCTTCTGTATTTTGGCTGTCAGAACACAACAAAATCCTTAGAGTATCAACAGAAGTCCTGTTACCTATCTATAATCAGTTGTCCAAGCAATAGTATCATGCTACCCATAGGTGACCATGAGTCAGGAAACCCCTCTCTTTTCCATAGTCTTATAAATCTAGATACTTTGACTCATTAACAATTACAAGTATTGTTTCTTAATTCTTATGAATGCCCTACCACTATTACATCATAGCCAGAATACACCAGAGGCACTTGTGGGATAAGACATCCAGTAATACCCTAGATAAATAAGCCCCAAAATGTCTCTGTCTTTTCAGAGAACAAAATGTTTGGAGGTGCCAACTGGTATAATATTCCATCTCAAACCAAAAACATGATGGCATTACACAAAGTGAACATGGCTCCTGGCCTACCTGTTTGACGAGCATCTTGGTAGCAGCTTTACGACAGTATTCCTGTAGTCTGTCTCCACAGCTGACATGTGGATTGCTTGCCTGGTCTGAGTTATCTCCTTTCTCTGTCAGGAGATCGCCAACTGGTTTTTCTAATATTGTCTGGACGAGCAAATGATCAGGACCAATAAGAACACATACTTGTTATATAAATAAATACTTCAGGATATATATATTACAAAAATACTGCCAGTGACTCTTTGGAGTAATAGTAAAACATTTCCATTTGAATGTCAAAATTTACCTTAAACTCAAATATCATGTTACAAAATGCATCAAAAGTTTAAACACTGATCATTATCTGAATACACTAGACCTATATTAGACACTGTTTATAAGCATGTACTGGTGACTGGGGCTTTTAAATAACGTCTTTAACTGGTGTAAGTAAGTCTGACCAGACAAGATGTGTCCAAAAAACACCCCAAGAAATCTTGAAACTGTTGTTGATTCAATCCCTCTGAGCAGCCCGACACGCACCTGAAATGCCTTGGAGTATTTGTGTACAGTCTTGTGGGTCTTCTCCGTCGTCTGCTTCAAAGCCCAGTAGCTCATATCATTCCATCGGGCTATCTTCACAAAGCCCTGGAATAACATGCAATGTAGCATGTAGACATTGAGGTATAGAGATCAGAATGTGTCTTCTACGTAACTAGAACATGGAAACTTAGCTTACATATGTAAACATTGAGGTATAGAGATCAGAATGTGTCTTCTACGTAACTAGAACATGGAAACTTAGCTTACATATGTGTTAACAGGCATAATAATGCATTACATGGACCGTCAGTCATGTTAGCTACCATTATATAAAAAAGACCGGGCTTACACATGATGTTTGCTAAAGATCACCATGAAAGTTGGGCAAGCAATCAATACTATCTAAATATAAAGCTTTGCAACCTATCGGGCTTACAAGAAAAAAGTTGGCTTGCTACGCGCCTGGTTAAAGAATATCTGTACCTTTTCCCTAGAAGAATCATTGTTAAGGAAAAGTTTCACTTTCATAGGGACAGGTCACCAACATACAAAAGACCCACAAACGAGTATATGACTATATTACAGTGTCCAAATCCACAGACGATATATATTGGTTCAGTTGTGGGCTACACCACGTGTGATGGTATCACTGTTATCTCGCAGTCCTGTGAATATCACCCACACAAAACAGACAGGACTTCCTACATAGCTCCGCCATACCTTCAGCTCTTTCTCAATAGGCGTCCTCTGCCGTGTGACGTCTGCCTCCACCACAGCCAGAAACTGCCTATAAAACTGGTACACATTCCACAGGAGGTTCAACAATACATCTGAAACAGTCAAAGGACACCACTCTGCATCTGTGCAATAACATCCATCTGTTCTACTAGAGTATAAAACAAAAACAATGTTGAGCAAGTGACAATGTGTACAAAATTTCATCTGAACAAGAAAGTATTCACTCTTCTTTAAAAGGCTGGTGAGCCTGACAACTCCAGTCATGAACCATCACTTATGGACCAACCACTAACTACAGAACTGACCCACCTTGCTTGGGAGACTTGTCCATGTGAGTCAGCTGACAGTGGAAAGTGTACACCATCTCTAGGCGGCAGCGGAACTCTCCCAGGCTGGAAGTTTCCAGGAACTGTTCCAGAGACTTCAGGATATCTTCTGCAGTTGGCTCTGGGATCTAGGTGAAGAGAAAAGGTGAGTTTGAGTTAGAGGTGGTAAGAGGTATATCGAGGAGATGAGAGGGTGTCAGGTGTAAAAGCAAGAGTGAATATAATATTCAGACATGAATCTGGTAATTGTCTGTTTCAGTAAACTCTCCTGTCTACTTACATCCTCATTCTGCTGTGATGACAAGAAAGAGCCAATCAGTTGGTAGATGTGGAACCACCATCGTGCAGCTTTATTCCTAACTTTCTCGGCCTGTGTGTCGAGTGACCGGTTCCAGCAGCTGTGGATGAATAAGTAAGATTGAATTACAGACCTGCTCAATATATACAGAAACACTTCAAGATACATCACAGAATTTTCCTTGATAAGTAACAATTGACTGGAAGACCATATAATGGTGTGACATTGTCAGTTAGGATTCAAACTCAGACAACATCATTACAATGTTCCATACCTTCAGGCCTCTCTACCACATGCCAATTTCTTTGTTTTCTGTCAAAGCGCTGAGAAATATTTCCCAAAATCCACTATGCAGTTTCATAGTGTGTCAGTATACTAAGAACAAACACCATTGACAAAAACATTCATCTTTATTCTGCTATGATAAATTTTTCATGAACTTTGCAGATGATGTAACTGCCAATCATGTAACAAAAATCCAGTTAGCTACCATCTCCAGCTGACTTGAGAAGTTAAATAGCATGTAACAGTTTATTTGCTGTGTAATATAGGATCGTTTCACCCACCTAAGTTCCAGTTTCCTCCACTGTATTATCATAGAGGTGACGTCTGCTAGTTGTGTTGCCATGGAGACATGTGCAGCAGCATTTGCCTCCCAGTCCTGGGACTTCTCCAACACCAGCTCAAGCCCAGTGAGGAACTTCATGACGGGACAGGTTACAGGGAAGGACAGCACTCGGTCCACGATTGTCTGCAGCTAAACAAAAACAACACCATTAAATATGCAAGTTACAAATACAGTGATGAAGACACTGGCAGAAAGGAGTTGTGGGATAACTATTCAGAGCCAAAAACATTTGGGAGCATGAAGATGGAAAACACAATTTCACAAAAATATCTAAAAACATATTCATGATCCCTTACTTATTTTGTTTGGTATCTGTGTTGTACCAACCACTACAAGGAAAGAAATCAGCACTAAATGCTTGCAATCTGATTTGTGTTGATCAGTAACAGTAATGAAAATGTACTTTTAAATGGAAATATTTGGTATTGAGAATAATCAGTCCCTTGATGTTCATGATATTGTTTTAGACATCCTGGTTGTAACACGTTGCACATGATCCCTGACCTATCCTGGGAATACTACAGGGATGTTGACCTTTACTTACTATTTTCAGGGTGGGATGGTCTGGCCATTCCTGCTGTAACTCGGACACACGGGCTGAAAATCTGGTCAGAACTGGTCTACACTGGATCACCTCAGCCACGTTGGAGTCAGTATAGATGTTGTAGACTGGCGATTCCTTCGGTACAAGTGGATTGTTGTGGTCACTATCTGCCGACTGAGATACACGGACTGATGTCTCTACAGCACCACACACCAGCAGGTGGCCTCCAAGCATCTCCAAATCTGCTGCACTGCCTGGAAGCAAGAAAAGATGACTTTGACACAATAACCCAGACACTGGACATTGCTACGCCATGAAGGTACACCAAGTGGTAACAACATGGAGGAACAACATCTGTCTATTTGGTTGCTACTTTTGCCACAGTCAACAATATTCCAACCATATCAGTACAAAAACTCTGGGTCTGACAAACCCACTGTCAGGATACGATGATGCACAATACACCAGGTAGCCCAGGCCCCGATTTCTCGAAACAAACTTAAGTTTTTACTCAAATTTCAAACTGAGTTTGACAATTTAAAACAGCTGAATTTTTAACTCAACAGCATTTTTTAAATACAAAAGCCCAAACAACTTAAGTAATATATCCACCAAACTCAAATTGTCTACTATGTTTGAGTTTAATATCAATTTCAGTTCATTCTGGGAAATGCATTTTCTCAACTTTGAGTTAAAACTCTAACTTCAGTCAAAACTCAGACTTTAGTTTGTTTTGAGAAATCAGGGCCAGATCTATCACTCCATTCAGTTTAGTCAAGTCTTCCCCTTGCAGGGCCTCAAGGGGGGTACAATGACGCACTGATGTTGACAAATAACTGACATGGCTGTTGTGCAATATAGACAAACTTTATGGATAACAACTTCTTTATTTCATGAGTGCAACGTTACACTCAGTATATATACTTTGCTTCCACTTCATGTTTACATTCCTGCTTGACAACAGTACAAGATTCTGTGTCGAAACATCACACTCACAAAATAAAGAGGTTGTTATCTATAAAGTTTGTCTATTTTGTACTTCCAAAAAATGCCACTCAAAGAAGTTATGTCTGTAGTGGTACACTGTTTCTTTTATCTGCCCAAGAAGTTCCTCATGGTAAAGACGACTGATATAAATCCTCGTTAGGATTAGAAAGCCACAATAACTCGGTGCGCCTAGTCGCTGCAAGAGTTGCATACTCCCCAGGGAGTTGAGAGTGATAATGCGATGTGCCGTTGAGATTGACATCCAATGATCAAGGGAAAAAATACCAGCACCTTGAGCATGCACTAGTGCGTGGATATGTGCGCTATAGCTATATAAATATCCTATAACAATAATAATAATATAAATTTGGGAGGAAAACCTGTAGTGATGCAATCTTTGACAATGACCACACTGAGGAAACCCAAAAGCAAGCGTTTGGAGCTAACATTCATTACTGACAACTGCAATGGTGACACAACTCAATGTCATTCAGGCATGCGAACAATTCTTACATGTGATGCAACAAAGCCAATGAAAAGAACCAACCTAGAGCCTTCCATCCCATCTTGCCCAGCTGTGCGGCAACCGAGTACCTCATTAATGCAGGTAGAACGTGGTCCTGGGGCAAGACCTGTGGGAGTTCCGGCCTTCTGATCCACTCGGTGCTGGTCAGGGTGGTGAAGATCTTCTGGTGGCAGTTCAGGATGAGGGACATCTCTGCTGGACTGATTCTGTCCACTCCTGGAGTGACTTCATCTTTAGTCATCTCCTCTTGATCAGCGTCTGTTCCTCCCAGGGCCTTCTGCCCAGTTACATCTTCATGACGACATAATCCTGTACATGATTATAACACAGGTGAATTCCTGATGGTTATAACTCTAGATGCCCACTAGCTTCATTCAATCAGTGAATACAGAATATAGATATAATTAACAGATACGAATAAATTTTCCAGAAAAGTTGTAAAAATGTCTAAAGATTGACAAACAGTATCCCTACATGTCAGTGAAGTGACTCCAACAATGAATAAATGTTCCAGTAAGATTGACAAAGATAAGACGAAGGAATAAGCTGTTATGTTTTTTTTTGCTTTCACCAACATTCCATCACTACAATGGACGGAGACCCTTGTTCAGAATCAAACCCAGACATTTGGTGTCACTGACTGAACACTTTAACCAAAGGCTACCCCACTGAGAAAGGAAGGAAGTCATCTCACCTTCTCATAGGAAGGGAAACTTGCACGGAAGTCTTCCTCCTCCTTCTGCTCCTCACTGCGGTCGTCTCCATGTGTCTGAGCCTTGTAGCGGAACAACGCCTGTTCCTCTTCCTCTTTCCTCCGCCTCGCCTCCTCCTGCTCCTGCCATGCTCTCACAAACAGCTCAAACAATCGGGACAAGGTGAAGGTCAGCTGAGGTGCAAGTTCACCCGACATCAGGCAGTGGGTCTTCACCAACAAGAGAGCATCTTTCAGAAACCTGTGGAACATAAATCTGAGTTAGCATTGTGGACATAGAATAAGCAAAGATTAAACAGACACACAAATCAAGTCTTTGAATAGCATCTAGAGTGAGTGAGTGAGTGAGTTGGGTTTTACGCCACTTTTAGCACAATTCCAGGAATATCATCCTGGGGGACACCAGGAATGGGAATTACATTAAGAGGTGATACACACAAAGGGGAGAATTTATAGATGTCAACTCCTTCTGCAAGAAGCAGGAGTCAGCATAATTGCATACTTGATCAGTTGAATGGTGCATAATAAAGGAATAAGTATGCACTTGAAAACATTGTGTTCCTTATAATACAAATTAACATTACAAAATTCTTTCACTTTAACATACAAATATTTCTGAAACTTACTTGGCACACATTTCTTTCTCCTGTACAACAGCTGTGTCCGTGTCCTGCAGCTGGGTGAAGCTGCCGACTGCTCGCCATGTGACGTCTGCTACCAGAACATCAGCCAGCTGAAGCATGCTGGGAGTTTGAGGGCTGATTGCTGGGAATCTGCTAAGACATGTAATTGTCTGCTCAGCGGTGCTCACACTTTCAAACTGCAATAAAACAAAAATGTATTCATATTTCTATTGACATTTAGCCCAATATATCTTAAGTAAGCTACTGATGTAGTAAATAGTCTCTGATAAAAGTCATGTCAAGCTGGAATATTAGACATACCTTCGCTTTGTGAGCCAACAAATCCACCTGTTGTGCAATCATCCTCATACCCAGGGATACCTGAAACAACAAAAGAATGTCATCATTTGTGAAGGATAGAGACTTCACTGGCAGTGACCTGGTAAGTGTTGGATCATATATTCAGATTGCTGTATCTGAGAGATAGAAACACATCTTATGTGGAAATAATTAGATTTCTACCTTGTCCTTAAATAAGTCATGTAAGTCAAAGATTTCATATATTTCTGCAGCTTAAGCATCAACTTTCTATCATCATCTCATGAAATACAGTGATGATTCAAGAATGCTCAAGATTTACTCAAAAACACAGAGATTCTTCAACATGAAATTCAAGATGGTTGCCCAAGTGGGACCCACGGACTGTCAGTACCTGTAGTGTGGCCAGTGTGAAAGGCTCCAGCAGATCCCGGTAGCAAGGGTATTCCTGCTCCAGTCTTTGCAGGAACCTGTGGAGTGTCGTCTGCCACACTCTCTCCTCTCGGACACAGCTAGTTGTTGTGATGTCACCTTGGAGTTGCTCCTGCAGCATCTGATTGGCTGAGAGAAGCTTGCTGAGAAGGTCTGTCACATGACTGGTCGATCCCACGCTCTGGAGGAAACTGGAGATGTCTTGTACCAACAGAGGGAACTGCAATACCAGCAAGGATGACACATTCAAGTCTACAGTTGAGTTAATAAGTTGGTTTATGATGCTACCTTGGATCTACCTGTGACACACATCATACCCACTGCTACACATATCGTATCTGCCACAACACACCTAGGATCTACCTGTGACACACATCATACCCACTGCTACACATATCATATCTGCCACAACACACCTTGGATCTACCTGTGACACACATCATACCCACTGCTACACATATCGTACCTGCCACAACACACCTAGGATCTACCTGTGATACACATCATTCCCACTACTACACACCTTGTATCTGCCACAACACACCTTGGATCTACCTGTGATACACATCATTACCCACTGCTACACATATCGTATCTGCCACAACACACCTTGGATCTACCTGTGATACACATCATACCCACTGCTACACATATCGTACCTGCCACAACACACCCTGGATCTACCTGTGATACACATCATTCCCACTGCTACACATATCGATCTGCCACAACACACCTTGGATCTACCTGTGATACACATCATACCCACTGCTACACATATCGTACCTGCCACAACACACCTTGGATCTACCTGTGATACACATCATTCCCACTACTACACACCTTGTATCTGCCACAACACACCTAGGATCTACCTGTGATACACATCATTCCCACTACTACACACCTTGTATCTGCCACAACACACCTAGGATCTACCTGTGATACACATCATACCCACTACTACACACCTTGTATCTGCCACAACACACCCTGGATCTACCCAGACACACATCATACCCACTGCTACACATATCGCACTCTGCCACAACACACCCTGGATCTACCTGTGATACACACATCATACCCACTGCTACACTTATCGTGTATCTGCCACAACACACCCTGGATCTACCTGTGATACACATCATACCCACTGCTACACATATCGTACTCTGCCACAACACACACCTGGATCTACCTGTGACACATCATACCCACTGCTACACATATAGGATCTATCTGTGACACACATCACACCCATCACAACACACCTAGGATCTACCCAGACACACATCATACCCACTGCTACACATATCGGATCTGCCTGCCACAACACAACACACCTAGGATCTACCTGTGATACACATCATACCCACTGCTACACATATCTGCCCACACCTGCCACAACACACCTGGGATCTACCTGTGATACACATCATACCCACTGCTACACATATCGTATCTGCCACAACACACCTAGGATCTACCTGTGACACACATCATACCCACTGCTACACATATCGTACCTGCCACAACACACCTAGGATCTACCTGTGACACACATCATTCCCACTGCTACACATATCGTATCTGCCACAACACACCTAGGATCTACCTGTGATACACATCATACCCACTGCTACACATATCGTATCTGCCACAACACACCTTGGATCTACCTGTGATACACATCATACCCACTGCTACACATATCGTATCTGCCACAACACACCTAGGATCTACCTGTGATACACATCATACCCACTGCTACACACCTTGTATCTGCCACAACACACCTTGGATCTACCTGTGACACACATCATTCCCACTACTACACATATTGTATCTGCCACAACACACCTTGGATCTACCTGTGACACACATCATACCCACTGCTACACATATCGTATCTGCCACAACACACCTAGGATCTACCTGTGATACACATCATACCCACTACTACATACATATGTATCTGCCACAACACACCTCAGGATCTACCTGTGATACACATCATTCCCACTGCTACACATATATCAGATATCTACAACACACCTAGGGATTCTGCCACAACACACCTTGGATCTACCTGTGACACACATCATACCCACTGCTACACATATCGTATCTGCCACAACACACCTAGGATCTACCTGTGACACACATCATACCCACTGCTACACATATCGTATCTGCCACAACACACCTTGGATCTACCTGTGACACACATCATACCCACTGCTACACATATCGTGCATCTGCCACAACACACCTTGGATCTACCTGTGATACACATCATACCCACTGCTACACATATCGTGATTCTGCCACAACAACACACCTTGGATCTACCTGTGACACACATCATACCCACTGCTACACACCTTGTATCTGCCACAACACACCTTGGATCTACCTGTGACACACATCATCTGCCACTACTACACATATTGTATCTGCCACAACACACCTTGGATCTACCTGTGACACACATCATACCCACTGCTACACACTAGGATCTAATCTTGTATCTGCCACAACACACCTTGGATCTACCTGTGATACACATCATTCCCACTACTACACACCTTGTATCTGCCACAACACACCTTGGATCTACCTGTGACACACATCATACCCACTGCTACACACCTTGTATCTGCCACAACACACCTTGGATCTACCTGTGACACACATCATACCCACTACTACACACCTTGTATCTGCCACAACACACCTTGGATCTACCTGTGACACACATCATTCCCACTACTACACACATTGTATCTGCCACAAAACACCTAGGATCTACCTGTGACACACATCATCCCCACCTGTGACTGCTGTGGCCTGTACACCTAGGATCTACCTGTGACACACATCATCCCCACCTGTGACTGCTGTGGCCTGTACACCTAGGATCTACCTGTGACACACATCATCCCCACCTGTGACTGCTGTGGCCTGTACACCTAGGATCTACCTGTGACACACATCATGCCCACCTGTGACTGCTGTGGCCTGTACACCTAGGATCTACCTGTGACACACATCATGCCCACCTGTGACTGCTGTGGCCTGTACACCTAGGATCTACCTGTGACACACACACTCCCCACCTGTGACTGCTGTGGCCTGTACACCTAGGGATCTACCTGTGACACACATCATCCCCACCTGTGACTGCTGTGGCCTGTACACCTAGGGATCTACCTGTGACACACATCATCCCCACCTGTGACTGCTGTGGCCTGTACACCTAGGATCTACCTGTGACACACATCATCCCCACCTGTGACTGCTGTGGCCTGTACACCTAGGATCTACCTGTGACACACATCATCCCCACCTGTGACTGCTGTGGCCTGTACACCTAGGATCTACCTGTGACACACACACATCCCCACCTGTGACTGCTGTGGCCTGTACACCTTCCTCTTCTGCAGGTCAGTCACCTTCTGGGTAAGCGTCTGCTGTCTCTGCAGCAGGAAGCGCACTCGGGGGTGGGGACAAATGGACTCAGCCAGTCCCCGCCCTGTCAACAGCTGCAGCTGCAGCTCCACCACCTCCAGCTCTGCCTCAACATCACTCAACTACAGGGAGAAAGCAGCAATTGTGAGAAAATGTAAATTACCTACATTGACATGAGCTTAACAATGCTCCGACAATTCAACAATATGATGATGAGTCAGCTTTATGTTGGCTGAATCTCAACGTGATACTACCGCCACTGTTGTGAAGTCAAGACCTGGCACTGGCAAACCAAGGAACACAGTGATGCTTACTCTGGCATTGGAAACCATCATCAAGGGAGGTAACTCTGTACAGGTAATGGGAACTGCAGCTCCTCAATCACTTTCATGTATACAGAGGCAGCAAAATGAACAAAGGATGCAATATCCAATGCAAGTCATAGAGAATTTTAGAAAGTGTTTTAATAAATACACCATGTGCATAACTCACTGATTTCAAGTTCCAAAACCATGGTACTTAAAGATATTTGTCTGTGTGACACAATCTGCCCAGCAGTTACAAATTCAAAAGTACCTCAGGAATGCAATAGATTTTCAGAGTAGCAATTTAGAAAGCCATCTTGGAATCCTTGACACTGTCTGTTTTCTAAAGATTTTCCTTGACAATTTTTCTTTCCTAGATATTTTCCACCTATCTGGTTGGTTTTTTTAGTGAGTGAGTTAGTGAGGTGATCACTCAGCAATATTCCAGTTATATGAGTGAGTGAGTGAGTTTAAATTTACACCAATATTATCAATATTCCAGCAATATCACGGCAGGGGACACCAGAAAAGGGTCTCACACATTGTACCCATGTGGGGAATCGAACCGGGTCTTCAGTGTGACGAGCAAACGCTTTAATTATTAGGCTACCCCACCACCCTCCAGCTATATGGCAGCGGTCTGTAAATAATCGAGTCTGACCAGCCAATCCAGTGATCGACAGCATGAACATTTATCTATCCAACTGGGATATGATTATGCGTATCAACAAAGTCAGCGAGCCTGACCATCGGATCCCGTTAGTCGCCCTTACCACAAGCATTGATTTCTGAAGATCAATTCTAACCCGATCTTTACAGGTGTTTTGCTTTTTTGACATTCATGTACCTCATCTTGAATATGTTGCAGCTTGACTGCCTGCTTCTCTACAGGATCAACAGGTCCTCTGGGAGCCAAGAGGATCATGTGTGACAGCCCCAAATACACCAGACCCCGCCCGATGTTGCTGAGACTGTCCTCCGTGTCTTCCTGGCTCAGGTCATGCAGGATTTCACAGCTTCTGTGGAGGACAGGAACAGCTGCCGAGTCGATGGAGTCAGACACACACTGGAGCCAGCTGTGTGCCTGTCTGATCGCAGCAGACGTCAGTGGCGTCTGCTTATCTGATGAGTGAAGGTCATCTAAAACTGCTGCATATTGCCCTCGGTCAGCAGGGGTCAGTAGCGACTTGATGGAGTCCAAAAGATGAATGAAGCTTCTAAATAAGTATTTACTTGTTTGGTTTCTGAAATAAATGTATACACAGTAACTTACTCAAACCATAGTTCACAAAACAAGATTTATTACTATGAGTATAGACAAAGGTGTCTACTACTATGCAATTTGACTGAACAATTGATTTGAATAATTCAAATCTTGAAAATAACTTAGGTACAGGAGAATGGTCAGAATGAAATAAGATGTCAAGCAACTATTGTCATAGTTGTACCTGCAATGCATGGACATAGACAATCCATGTCCGGGACACAAGTTGAGCTTCTACACTCTGTACTTACTTGATACTCCTCTCTGGACTGCTCAAGACAGAAGCATGACTCCACACATGGTGCCGGATCAACTCTAACACTCTCAACTGATGGTCGAAGTGCTTTAGGGGGACATCTACAGGGAGGGACTCAGCCTCACTCTGGTGTCTGTAGTCACGAGACAACAGACTGAATGCAAAATAGGACACGGACGAAGTCTGGAACATTCCGGGACCCTGAATAGACAAGATTAAAAATGTTAATATTTTCAAATCATTTGACTCAGAAACCATAAAGAGGAAGTTGAAACAGTATTGACAGACACTCTCCAATGAGACTCACCAGTGAAAGTTCTGTTTCTGTTTCCGCATGATCATCTTTTCTTTTATTCCACTGTAGCCATTGGCAACAGTTCCTGGAAGCTGTGCACCTCCACAGCATATCCAGAACACTCTTGGAGAATGTAACATCTTGTCCTGCATCTCGTTCCTGACAAAGAATAGAATACAATGTTTATAGGTTAAGTTTTTTCTTAATTTCATGATATCTTACTAAACAGACAAAAAGCATTCAAATTCATTCAAGACATTCAAGACATTTTTCACCTTTATGCAATCACAAAGTTTAAAGAACTTTACAAGAGAAAATTAGTGTTGCTATGATAAGCAACATTTAATCTATATTGTCGAGGCTCATACAAGATTTATTTTGGATGAACACTGACTAAGGCAAGACAATCCAGTGATTGACATCAGAATAGAATACAATGGTTACAAAGTTGTTTTTTTTTTTTAATTTGATGATATCTTACTTTTAAAACAGGCAAAAAGCATTGAAATTCCAAAGACATTTTTCACCTTTATGCAATCACAAGATTGATTTACAAGAACTTTACAAGAGACAGTCAGTGTTGCTATGATATGCAACATTTAATCTGCATTGACATCAAGGGCATTATCTATGCTATTGGGATATGATGGCATGCATCAACCAAGTCGAATCCCATTAGAAGCCTCTTCAAAGAAACATGGGATACTGAAGACCTATTCTGTGCTAGAATCAAAACTAAAAAAACGATTTTGAATCTACTTGAAAGTTCCACTAGTCAAAATACAGTATGAAATCATGTTATGGTTTCAAAGAAATATTAATCCTGTGACACATCAGGGTATTTTCTCATTTATAAAATTTTCCATTTCACCTGTGTTTTCTTCATCAGCTCCAGGTGCAACAAAGTGTCAGGTGTGTAATGCAGACAATAATCCTGCAGGTGAGACAGGTGTGACGAGTCTGCTGGCACACCTGGTAGCAAACTGAGATGAGCCACCACACTCAAGTGTTCAAACAAGGGCCATAACTCTACACAGCCAGCTGGCAGAGTCTCCTCAGCAGTGGTGTTGGGGTCCGATGCGACAGGGTCAGATGTGCACATGTCAGTGTCCGAGGTCAGATGCAGATTGTACAACCCAAGACAAGTCGTCACCTTCTCAAACAGGCCTTCAATGCCATCTAGAAATAGAGTGAGTGAGTGAGTTTAGTTTTATGCCACTTTTAGCAATATTCCAGCAAGATCATGGCAAGGAACACCAGAAAATGGGCTTCACACATTGTACCCATGTGGGGAATCGAACCTGCATCTTCGGCGTGACGAGAGAACACTTTAACCACAAGGCTACCCCACCGCCTCTTTAGAAATAGAACAAATAGACACCACAAATAGAAATCTTGTTCTTGGTACATTTCATACCTTCCAAATATTCAAAGAGATTGTCAAAGTTAACCAAAAGTCAAACTTTACAGACCAATGGACAAAGAGTGCACAAAGGCTTTCAGTCAACTGAGATAAGCCTAATTTCTGGCTATTTTATCTATTTCATAATTTATCAAAACTTTAAACGAACCTGTTGATGTTTCTGTTTCTTTAATCAACCCTGAGAGTTCCAGTATTTGCTTCCGAACTAAATAACCACTGTGAACCATGGCCTTGACCTTGTTCAGTACAACACCAGAGGGCACTTCCTCATACACGCTCACAAGGTTCCTTAACGTCTGCAACCTCCTTGTCAACATTGTTTCACATTCTGACATCATAGCAGCAGGGTGACCAAAGTCATTCCAGATTCTCTCAAACTGTTTTGCGGACTGGTTGTCTTGTCCGAGAGTTCGCTGGAGCTGAGTCACAGCTGATTGAAGTTTAGAGGATGAGCTGAAACAAATTACATGTGTTATATTGAACTCTTAATGATTAATGTAAACTGTGTAATTTGAAAGATTTTTATTTATCTTGACAATTCATTCTTCTGAAGACCATTGTCAATTGACATGATAATCTTTTTCTGAATTGGAAGAATAGTGTAACTAGTATGGTGCTCACATGAGTTTCATCTTTAAAACCAGCCTATCAAGAAACATTAACCCACCATCTTGGACACCTACATACCCAGTGGATCCGAGGCTTGAGAAGACAGCCAGTGTTTTGTTGTTGAACCAGTTCCAGTGTAGGGCGAGTTGACAAGTGAAGCTCTGCAGTGTCATATGCTGCAAGCGTTGGGCCAAACATAGCAGACGACACATCCAGGGCAGGCAGGACAGGATCTAACAAAATAATATGGAGTTGAAACTATCATGTAATGAAATGTACGTTCTTGCATAAGAGTGATTATGATTTTATGCAGCAATATCACAGCAGGAGTCAGAAAATGACTTCACATATTGTACCAATGCAGGGCATCAAACCCAGGTCTTTGGCATAATATAACAACTAGCCTACCCCAGAGCCCATTCTTGCATAAGAGGAGTGAAATCTCTATATTACTAATCTGGACCTTCTCCACAGTTTGGTCCTGTCACTGAGGGGCCAACTATTTTGTGGAGTTGGGGTCCAAGATATGGAGTCCCAGGATGTGGATTCTTGCATGGGGAAGCTAAGATGAAGGCCAGGGATATGGAGCCCAAGAACAGACAGAATGTGGAGACTCAGGTGAATGCAAGGGATATGGAGGTCCAGCATGAAGAGGCTCAAGTGAAGGCAGAGTATGTGGAACCACAATGAAGGCCAAGCATGGGAAGGCCTGACGAAGGCAATGAATATGGAGGCTCATCAGGAAGCCAGTGATATGGAGGCATAGAATGTGGAGGCTCATCAGGAAGCCAGTAATATGGAGGCATAGAATGTGGAGGCTCACGACTGACTGACTGACTGACTGACTGAGTTTGGGTTTACGCTGCTTTTAGCAATATTCCAGCAATATGACGGCGGGAGACACCAGAAATGGAAGCTCAGAAGAAAGGAGGGATATGGAGGCATAGAATGTGGAAGCTCAGAAGAAACCAGGGATATGGAGGCATAGAATATGGAGGCTCAGAAGAAACCAGGGATATGGAGGCATAGAATGTGGAGGCTCATCAGGAAGCCAGTGATATGGAGGCATAGAATGTGGAGGCTCAGAAGAAACCAGGGATATGGAGGCATAGAATGTGGAGGCTCAGAAGAAACCAGGGCTATGGAGGCATAGAATGTGGAGGCTCCGACTGACTGACTGACTGACTGAGTTTGGGTTTACGCTGCTTTTAGCAATATTCCAGCAATATGACGGCGGGAGACACCAGAAATGGAAGCTCAGAAGAAAGGAGGGATATGGAGGCATAGAATGTGGAAGCTCAGAAGAAACCAGGGATATGGAGGCATAGAATGTGGAGGCTCATCAGGAAGCCAGTGATATGGAGGCATAGAATGTGGAGGCTCAGAAGAAACCAGGGATATGGAGGCATAGAATGTGGAAGCTCAGAAGAAACCAGGGATATGGAGGCATAGAATATGGAGGCTCAGAAGAAAGCAGGGCTATGGAGGCATAGAATGTGGAGGCTCATCAGGAAGCCAGTGATATGGAGGCATAGAATGTGGAGGCTCAGAAGAAACCAGGGCTATGGAGGCATAGAATGTGGAGGCTCAGAAGAAACCAGGGCTATGGAGGCATAGAATATGGAGGCTCAGAAGAAAGCAGGGCTATGGAGGCATAGAATGTGGAGGCTCAGAAGAAACCAGGGCTATGGAGACATAGAATGTGGAGGCTCAGAAGAAACCAGGGATATGGAGGCATAGAATGTGGAGGCTCAGAAGAAACCAGGGCTATGGAGGCATAGAATGTGGAAGCTCAGAAGAAACCAGGGATATGGAGACATAGAATATGGAGGCTCAGAAGAAAGCAGGGCTATGGAGGCATAGAATGTGGAGGCTCAGAAGAAACCAGGGATATGGAGACATAGAATGTGGAGGCTCAGAAGAAACCAGGGATATGGAGGCATAGAATGTGGAGGCTCAGAAGAAACCAGGGCTATGGAGGCATAGAATGTGGAGGCTCAGAAGAAACCAGGGATATGGAGGCTCAGAAGAAACCAGGGATATGGAGACATAGAATGTGGAGGCTCAGAAGAAAGCCAAGGATATGGAGGCATAGAATGTGGAGGCTCAGAAGAAAGCAGGGATATGGAGGCATAGAATGTGGAGGCTCAGAAGAAAGCAGGGATATGGAGGCATAGAACTTGGAGGCTCAGAAAAAACAGGGATATGGAGGCATAGAATGTGGAGGCTCAGAAGAAACCAGGGATATGGAGGTCCTGGATGTTGGGATACACGGATGTGAAGACGAAATGGAAGGCTTGGGAATGCCCTGTGTTGTTTTGTTTAAAACAGTACATGTTTACATTGTTGACTGACTTTTCTTGGCATTGCAGGTATTTATTACAAAATATCAAATTAATATAAAACAATTTCTTAATTTTAAAGATATGTGAACCATATCCATGCAATATTGTGCAACTTTTCATGTTAATCACTATTCAAACACACTTAACAACCGAACTGTGTCATCTAAACATGAGTATAATAGGTAGTGTTCAAAGATTTCATCAAATTTGATATAAACTGTTGATAATGATTAGAATAAATATCAAAACAAAAAGGACATCAGTATTGGCTCCAAGTCTGCATTCTTGTGATATAACATTTAAATATCTGTAATGTTTACTGCCTGTGTAATGTGGTTTGTTTGAAGTGTGTATCCAGTACAGTGTCAACACCAAAACCAATGGAATGGTTCCACCTCAGTACAAGGACACCCACACCAGGCACCATGCTGTGCTGCACTGTAGTCGTGTTGAAACATATCAGTGATGGCCAATGCATAGTGCAGATGATCAAGCCTCTTATGTCGTCTTCACATGGTTGATCATTATAATATTATTGATCCTTTATCCAAAAGTTTCTTTCTATTAAATTATAAGCACAACAGTTAGATATTCCTTTCAATTGGCATGACTAAATCTGATTAAATGCTTCCTATTCCTAGGCAATGTGGTTTATAAACAAATGGCACAGTTTGAGGAATAATTTCAATTAAAATTCAAGTCATGTTTTGTTCCACTACATCTTCCTTAAATTTTCAAATCTGTGCCGAGCTGGTTAGTTTCATAGAAAAAGGATCTCAGATATTTTCCCCACAGCTTTTTGTAACTATTTTTTCACTAGATTATTTTCACATTTTAATTACTGCATGTTTTCTATGACAATGACTCTTTGTTTGGATTCCATGGACAAATCTAGTGTTGGACATTCTCCGAAAGTTTCAGAATGATTCCTTTAGCCAGTTAAGAGGAGTATATCTAACATACAATCTGACAAGAGATGGGTGGGCAGTGTGTAATGGTGTGGTTTGGACCTTAATTCCAAATGAGCCGAGTTGGTCAGTGCGAGCTGATATTACAAAGCCGTTATGTGTGGGTGTATAATTCATATGGGCATTGACTGTAAACCAAAATCTCTTTTTTCTGCCTTGTAAGTGAAAATGTAATGCAAACGGACAACAAAAAATCCTGCAACAAATTAAACAAGATTAAGAAACAAATATCAGTGCACAATTTTTATTAATGTAATTCAGCATCTTGGCATGAGATATTTTCCCATCTCCCTGATGCAGACAATGAAAATATCAGCGTCTGTAGAATAGCAGGCGAACCTCTCCCAGTGCTTCAGGGTCACTGGGGCTAACAAGAACCGCCATTCATCAAATAAATGGCATTTTGTTAAATGTCATGCAAAAATACCATAAAGATTTTCCTTCACATTGATTATTAATAACTTTGTTTCACCTAATTAAATTGCCGATTCATTGATTTGCCCATGATAGAGGTCACATGGTTCCTGGCTGGTCAGCGAGTCACTGGTCATGGAACACGCAACTCAGGTCTTCAACAGAGGGGTATAAGCTAAACTCCTAATGAACAGTATGATAACTGATACGTGAAATATCAACCCATTGTGAGTGAGTGAGTGAGTGAGTGCCAAACAATCACAAAAAAACATTCCACATTCAGCAATATGCAGAGTTATGAGTTGCTGTATAGCAAACATTGTTGAAAAACATTCACTCACTCACTCACTCACTCAATGTAGTGCTACCAACTTTTAGTGTGAGTGAGTGAGTGAGTATGGTTTTACACTGCTTTTAGCAATATTCCAGCAATATCACTGCAGGGTACACCAGAAATGGGCTTCACACATTAGGCGTGTCAAACACCAACTTTAAAAACTTACCTTTGTAAATGTGCTTTCCGAAACAGGGTCTATCTTCTCAATAAGGGCAGACAACTCTGTCTCCATCTCCTCATACATGTAGCTCAAATGGACAATAGCTGTAGATGTTGCGAATCCTTGCGACACTGTAAAATTATGGACGATGTTAATGAAAGGAGGAAATTTACCAAGCAACACGTTTACTGATACTGAAAATAATGTCACTTCACAGATTTCTAGCTGCCATTCAGTTGGTTTTTTTCTGGCTTTTTTTTCTTCTGTTACATAGAATCACATAAAGCTCACGGATTGAAGGACAGATCAAAATTAGAATTTAAACCTGGAACTCTTTATTAACAGGAGAAATGAAACTACCACTCTTGTATTCCAAGAAAGGGAGTATATTCTCAATAGAATTCATTGCTGTAATTGATATAAATGTTTCATTTTCATTTGCAAGTTCTCTAACATCCAATCAGACTGTGTGGTTCTTGAATGAGCAAGGTTTTACTTCTTTTAGAAGGCACAAGAAAAGGGCTTGACACACTGTATCCATGGGGTGAAGCAAACCCAGGCCTTCAGGGTGATGAGTGAACACTTTAACCACTAGGCTACCCCACCACCCCAACTGTGTTTCTTGAGACTACAGCTGAACCGCTCATAATGACAGTTTACACATGTGATGGCTGGTGGACCAAACAAAACAAAATCAATTTGTTTTTGCCATTTTGCTCGTCATTTCTTCATGTGTTCTCAAAGTAAACCATTTACGTGTTTACGCCACGTTACTTTAATGTAACAAATGTGAAAGGTC